AGGGAGTTGGATTGGATGGCCCATGAGGTCTCTTCCAACTCTTTGATTCTATGATTTCTGACTGTGAGAGCTGTTCAGCAGTGGAACTCTCTGCCCCGGAGTGTGGTAGAGTCTCCTTCTTTGGAGGCTTTTAAACAGAGGCTGGATGGCCATCTGTCAGGGGTGCTTTGAATGCAATTTTCGTGCTTCTTGGTAGGGGGTTGGACTGGATGCCCATGAGGTCTCTTCCAACTCTGTGATTCTATGATTCTAGTAGTACTTACTGATAAGTAGGAAGGCAGTCAAGAGTCTTCTAGTCACTGAAAATGCTCCAAGCCCAGTATGAGAAGCGAAATGCTGAATAAAAATATTCTATAATTATAACTGGAAGAATCAAAGGCTATTTTGGTCTGGCACGTCTTTTTGAGGATATTATTCCTGCTTAAACCTTTATTTTTGACTCTTACAAACTAAGAATGAAGAGGGAAAACCTATCTCAGACAGCCTGGTCCTACTGGTCAGTCGCAAGGCCGAACAGGGCATAGGGTTACAGCCTGTGCTGGACAGGGTTACACTCCCCCTGAAGGCTCAGGTTCACAGCTTGGGAGTGATCCTGGACTCATCGCTGAGCCTGGAACCCCAGGAGAGCTTTTGCACAACTAAAACTTGTGCACCCGTTGCACCCGTACCTTGGAAAGTCTGATATGGCCACAGTGGTCCACGCTCTTGTTACATCCCGAATAGACTACTGCAACGCACTCTACGTGGGGTTGCCCTTGAAGACTGTTCGGAAACTTCAACTGGTCCAACGAGCGGCAGCCAGATTGCTTACCGGAGCGACATACAGGGAGCACACCACCCCCCTGCTGTGTCAGCTCCACTGGCTGCCGGTTCAGTTCCGAGCACAATTCAAGGTGCTGGTTTTGACCTACAAAACCTTTACGTTTCCGGTCCAGTGTATCTATCCAAACGTATCTCCCTCTATGTCCCACCCCAGAGTCTGAGATCATCTGGGGAGGCCCTGCTCTCGACCGCACCACTATCACAAGTGAGGTTGGTGGGGACGAGGAGCAGGGCCTTCTCGGTGGTGGCCCCTCACCTATGGAACTCACTCCCGGGAGAAATTAGGGCATCAACATCCCTCCTCTCCTTCAGGAGGAAAGTAAAGACGTGGTTGTGGGACCAGGCCTTTGGGCAATCTGACAGCTAGATAAGGACAATCAAACGACTAGGACTGACAGGACTGACAATGTGGAATTGGCATTTGGACTATGAGATAGCGAACGCTGACCGTCTATGAGGAGTAATTAGGTTTGTATCGTTTTATTGGTTTTAGGGTTGTAATGCAGGAATTGTTGTTTAACTGTTCAACTGTTTGACTGTTTAATTGATGTTATTTTGTTTTACTACTGTTATGTGATGCTGGCATCGAATTGTGCTTTTGTAAGCCGCCCTGAGTCTCCTTCGGGGTGAGAAGGGCGGGGTAGAAGAAACCGAAATAAATAATAAATAATAGGGAAAGAAAATCAAATAAATGTCCATTCCTACTATTTTGAAAACAACTTCAGTTTATGTGTCTCCCTGAACAGAGAGCAGCTTGCAATTCACATCAGTTTGCAACATCAGCCCGCATACACTTTCAGAGCACAGAATTGGACGAAAGCAAGGCAGAACAAGGAATTATTTATTATCCAGGAGGAACATGCTCTGTTGTAGCAAAAACAAACGCGTACTCAAATTAAAAACCAAACCCAGCTTTAAAATATCTTTAAAATAAATCTCACACACATGTGGAGATATTTTTTCCATGTCTACATCTTATGCCTCAAGATAGTGGATGTGTCTGAGGGAAAGGGAGGGATCTTGCTGTGTCTGTCTCCCTGAGCATTATCAAGAGAAAGGCAAGACAATTACATGTATTTTTATCAGCTTATGTCAGCATAGCAGCAGACCACCATGTTTCACCAAGTCCGAAAGACGACCTCTTGTCAAGTTTGTATTTTTTTCTCTAAATCCCTTTTAAAAAAAGCATTAAGTTTTCAAACAGACAAATGTCTCCAAATAGCACGATAAAACAAAATTTAAAAACAGGGAATTCTTTTTCTGACTCGTTAAGATTTCTGTAACACAATGCAAGAGGAAGAAAATAAAAACCACAACAGAGAGGAAACAAACAAGGACATCTAATCACCTCTCAACAAAAGATTGCTCCAGGCACTGCCAGGCAATCAAATGCTAATCAAGGTGATCAGTGGAAACATTCACACCTATCTCCAGAAGACAAGAGTCCTTTGTCCCACCCTGGTCATTCCACAGATATATAAACCCTTTTTCCAACAGACCTCTCTACCTCTGAGGATGCTTGCCATAGATGCAGGCGAAACGTCAGGAGAGAATGCCTTTAGAACATGGCCATATAGCCCGAAAAAAACTACAACAACCCAAAATAAAAACCATCTTCTTTCTCTCTCTCTCTCTCTCTCTCTCTCTCTATATATATATATATATGTAATGTATGTGTCACGTGGCAGAAAAAAAGCTCCGCATCTGATTGCCTGGGCATTTGTTTGGGCAAAGTCTTGGCCTGAGACCAGGACCAATTTCAATTACATCACAAAAACGGAGGGTTGGCTGACGTTACATGACAAATCCTGCTGCATCACACCGTAGGTCCTCCCATGATTTATTTCCATTCTAAGCTGACTTTTCCCAAACCTGGCTTTTCCCAAACAAAGCAACTAATATGTCATCTGATAATAAAACAGAGAAGCCGAACCCTCTAAATCCCGGCCTCTAATAAAATAGGGAAAATAACATTCAGTCAGAATGCTTGGCAAATCTTCCCAGAATCTGGGTTGCTGTGAGTTTTCCAAACTGTATGGCCATGTTCCAGAAGCATTCTCTCCTGATATTTTGCCTGCATCTATGGCAGGCATCTTCAGAGGTGATGACATTTCCAGGTTGTGACCTAGAAAACTCACAACCCAGTGATTCCAGCCATGAAAGCCTTTGACAATATATTTTCCCAGAATCCATTTGGAATAAATACTTTTAAAAAGATGTTTTTGAAGAAGAACACAACACTACAGCAGATATTCAGATCCCAAACAGATCAAGGTGGTCAGCTGAAACATTCACACCTAGCTCCAGCAGACAAGAGTCCTTTGTCCCACCCTGGTCATTCCACAGATATATAAACCCTTTTCCTAGTTCCAACAGACCTCACTACCTCTGAGGATGCTTGCCATAGATGCAGGCGAAACGTCAGGAGAGAATGCCTCTAGACCATGGCCATATAGCCCAAAAAAAACCTACAACAACCTAGATCCCAAACTGTTTTAAAACAGGCAAGTTTGCCACAAGCATGTGATTTCGAAGTAAGTTTTGGAAAGTAAAAGACGTCATCATTTATGTTCCCAAGCTCTGCACTAAGGGTGGACTTCCCAAGCATTTGCACATGACTAGTGTGGTTTGGTTTGTAATTTTTTTTAAAAAAACTGAACAAAATGAATGGAACTTTTGACATATACACATATTAATTTGGGGGAATCTGCAGAGGCATCGAAGGTCGTGTTCATCAAATAACATGTAATAGAATTTTAAGAGTTTCTTCTTATCTGTGATTCTCATTCTACAAAGCTTATCTGGAAAGTAAGGTTACAAGGCATGTAGCTCTCGTGGGGAATTTTCGCAGGAGAAGCTGGTATCACTGCTGTGTAGCAGGAAACCAGTGGAGCGATGCCAGTCGTCAGTAGCTCATCAACTGGCATTGTGGTGAAGGTTAGAGATGAGCGTCCTCATTCCGTTTCCCTCCAAATATCCAAATACGAGGAATATCCGGAAAGTAAGGTTACAAGATTTTTTTAAAATACAAAGAATATGTTTTAATAAAACTTACATGGATTGTAGCATAGGTATTACATTATTTTTCCACATAATCACCATACAGTTCAATACATTTTGTCATTCGTGGGATGAGTTTTTTGATGCCTGTGTCACAGAAGTCTCCCGCCACCTTTTTCAGCCAGTGGACGGCCATCCAGTTCTGTCTTCATCATTAATTTCTGTCCTTTCGCAATTGAAATTTTGTACCCATTTTGCCACATGCTGTCTTGACATTACACCCTTTCCATAAACTGAAATGATTCTGCATGAATCAGCAGCATTCATGCCCTTAGCATTTAGGTAGCACATGACAGCGCGAACTTCGCACTTGGAGGGAAATGGAATGAGGACGCTCATCTCTAACCTTCACCACAATGCCAGTCGATGAGCTACTGACGACTAGCACTGCTCATTCGCTTCGGCTGGCTTCCTGCTACATGGCAGTGATACCAACTTCTCCCACAAATATTCCCTGCAAAAGCAACATGCCTAGCAACCTTACTTTCCGGATAACCCTCGTAGAATTGTGCTGAGACTTAACATATTACAGAACAGACAGCCCATTCTTTATACCAGAGATGTTTAATTGTTCCCAAATTTAAATATTGGCAGGCACAGGGAGAAAAAAGCACTTCTTTCCCACATTTACAAAAGGATGTGGTGACAAGAAAAACCCCAATGTGAATGGCCAGTGTCTAAGCTCTCCTACCCTGACTACATGTTTTCCAGACACTTTGAGGAGCAAATGTGGCTCAACAGCACAACAGGTCCAACATCTATAGCTGCTCTGCCAGTGTTCTCCTTTCTCCAACTACGCAGTGATTCTTTCCCAGGATGCAGGCGAAACGTCAGGAGAGAATGCCTCTAGACCATGGCTATATAGCCTGAAAAAACCTACAACAACCCAGTGATTCCGGCCATGAAAGCCTTCGGCAATACATTACGCAGTGATTCTTTCCCAGAAGGAACAGTGAAAACATCAACAGATCAGCGCCAACAACCTCACCCAAGCTATTGCCCACTGTATTTCACCCTCTCCCCAGTTTTCACTAGAGAAAATGCTGGATGCTGAACAGGAATCCACATTAGATGTTTGTTTGAGGAATGAGAAGGGCAGAGGAAGGAGGGCAGAGAAAAGAAGAGAACCTGTGACCAAATCCCTTGCTGCCAAGGGGGAAGAGAATAGGTAACCACATCCTTTTATGCCAAACCCAGAGCTAGAGAACTTCTGTTGACTTCTGAGAAAATAATTTCCAGAATTATCAGGAAGTGATATGGGACTAAGCTAGCTTGCATCTACGTTGTGTCACTGTGGTCACCAAGGAACTCGGAAAGGGTTATGAAGTGATAAGCCTACTTAGCAGCAATGGTAGCAGATAGAACCCGGCACCTTCTCAAATATCCGTTCCTCCTTCCGCAGGATGGGTGAAATGGACCTGCCCTTCCAGATCAGAGAATCTAACTGTTTGCCAAGGAGGACGGATACTGACAAAGGGTTCCCTCTGCCAGGAGCACAAGAATGCCTACCCATTACAGATTATTCACTTGCAAACTCCTTGTGAGGTAGGTGAACACTTTCCCCATGTTGTACAGACAGAAGTGAAACAGAAAAGGCCCTGTGGTTTTGGCACCATTCAAGCCAAAACAGAAGCTAACTTCCCTGTAGGCACAAACCGTATCCTTTTAGGAAAAGTTGCTTCTCCCCTCGCCCACCCCGACCCCTCTTTGTGGCTGAATTACTTGATATCATTTAACAACTTTGCCTTCATTAAAAGCACCTTCTCATATTCTGAGCTTGGGTTGCTGACCTCTGTTTATGTGTCTCCAGCATTGTCAGCTGAATCGAAGAATGGGATGTTACCTGTACATGCAGCACACCAGGAACATCAAGGCTTTGGGCAGTTTTGGTTTCACAGAACCTCTTTTACACAACACAGAAGTGACTCCCATCTGAGGCTGGCCTGGGATTTCCACCTTACCAAATGCACCTGTGGCGAGCCTTCTGCGCCAGTGGATTGCTCCCACGCTCTCTGTCTTTCCACCCCAACAACACATATACACACACAGTTTAATATGTCTGTGTGTGTCTGTGGGACTGTGTGTGCGACTGTGTGCACATGTGCATGTGCATATACAGAATTTCAGAAAGATCTTTTAAAAAATTACACAGGTCTCTGGCTTTTCCGGCCAGTAATTCAAGCATGTCCTGCATGAAGTGCCTTTCCAGGAATAGATGCTATGTATAGAGATAAATAACAAGGGGATTGTCAGTCAACTTGGGTTCACGGGTCCCACACGCACACGCCATGCACCCGGTCTTGCTCCGGCTCCAGCACCTCATCTGGCAAAGCCTGAGGCCGAGGCCCTTCTTCCCCTCGGACGCGGGGAGAGCAGGGCGTCTCTTTCTGACTGGGGCTGACAAGTCAGTTTTCCTCTCCCTCGGATGACTCCTCTTCTGCCTCCTCCAGCCACTGGATAAATTTCTGAAGCTAAAGGAAGAAATATTAGAGATCATCAAAGTAATCAGTGCTAATATTGTATTGTCAAAGGCTTTCATGGCCGGAATCACTGGGTTGTAGTAGGTTTTTTCCTCAGGCTGTATGGCCATGGTCTAGAGGCATTCTCTCCTGACGTTTTGCCTGCATCTATGGTAAGCATCCTCAGAGGTAGTGAGGTCTGTTGGAACTAGGAAAAAGGGTTTATATATCTGTGGAATGACCAGGGTGAGACAAAGGACTCTTGTCTGCTGGAGCTAGGTGTGAATGTTTCAACTGACCACCTTGATTAGCATACAATGGCCTGAGTGTCTAGAGCAAACTTTTGTTGAGAGGTAATTAGACAACAACAGAGATGAAGCAGACAGGGACATCTAATTACCTCTCAACAAAAGTGTGCTCCAGGCGCAGTCAGCCCATTGTATGAAACATTCACACCTAACTCCAGCAGACAAGAGTCCTTTGTCTCACCCTGGTCATTCCACAGATATATAAACCCTTTCCTCTAGTTCCAACAGACCTCACTACCTCTGAGGATGCTTGCCATAGATGCAGGCGAAACGTCAGGAGAGAATGCCTCTAGACCATGGCCATACAGCCCGAGAAAAAAACCTACTACAACCCAGTGCTAATATTTATTATTTATTAATTTAAAACATTTATTTTCCGGCGTTCTCATCCCAAAAGGGACTCAGGGCAGAGCACAACATACAAGGCAAAATTCAATGCTGGCCTGCATCAATAGGAGTCTAGTGTCTAGATCAGGGGTCCCCAAACTTTTTGAACAGAGGGCCGGGTCGCAGTCCCGCAAACTGTTGGGGGGCCGGATTATAATTTGAAAAAAAACATGAATGAATTCCTATGCACTCTGCACATATATTATTTGCAGTGCAACCCCCCCCCCCAATCAAAAAACAAAGACCCACACTTCTATATAAATAAAAATGTAATGTTTGTTTGTGGGATTAACAGAACTCAAAAACCACTGGACGAATTGACACCAAATTTGGACACAAGACACCTAACAACCCAATGTATGTCCTTCACTAAAAAAAAAAAATGATTTTGTCATTTGGGAGTTGTAGTTGCTGGGATTTATAGTTCACCTACAATCAAAGAGCATTCTGAACCCCACCAACGGTGGAATTGAACCAAACTTGGCACACAGTTCTCCCATGACCAACAGAAAATACTGGAAGGGTTTGGTGGGCAGTGTCCTTTGGTTTTGGAGTTGTAGTTCACCTACATCCAGAGATCACTGTGGACTCAAACAATGATGGATCTGGACCAAACTCTACACGAATACTCAATATGCCCAAATGTGAACACTGGTGGAGTTTGGGGAAAATAGAATCTTGACATTTGGGAGTTGTAGTTGCTGGGATTTATAGTTCACCTACAATCAAAGAGCATTCTGAACCCCACCAACAATAGAATTGGGCCAAACCTCCCACACAGAACCCCCATGTGGGCCACAGCAACGTGTGGCAGTAAACGGCTAGTTATACATAACATATTATTTGAGAACACAGAAATGCTGGACCACACCAACAACCACCATATCAACTACACAGAGAAGCCATTGAAATCCACAAGCATGTGGACAATTTCAACAGAAAGGAGGAAACCATGAAGAGAACAAAATCTGCTACCAGTATTAAAAAACTCTAAAATCAAACATCAAATAAAAAGCAAGAGACAAGAAACAATCAGGGACAGCTAATCACCGCCCAACAAAGGATTCCCCCAGGCAGCAACCAACCAGACCTTGAAACTGCAAGGCCATTAAATGCTAATCAAGGTGGCCAATTGCAACATTCACACCTGCCTCAAGCAGACAGGACTTCTTTCTCCCATAGAATCAAAGAGTTGGAAGAGACCTCATGGGCCATCCAGTCCAACCCCATTCTGCCAAGAAGCAGGAATATTGCATTCAAATCACCCTGACAGATGGCCATCCAGCCCCTGTTTAAAAGCTTCCAAAGAAGGAGCCTCCACCACACTCCGGGGCAGAGAGTTCCACTGCTGAACGGCTCTCACAGTCAGGAAGTTCTTCCTCATGTTCAGATGGAATCTCCTCTCTTGTAGTTTGAAGCCATTGTTCCCGTCCTAGTCTCCAGGGAAGCAGAAAACAAGCTTGCTCCCTCCTCCCTGTGGCTTCCTCTCATATATGTATATACATGGCTATCATATCTCCTCTCAGCCTTCTCTTCTTCAGGTAAACATGCCCAGCTCCTTAAGCCGCTCCTCATAGGGCTTGTTCTCCAGACCCTTGATCATTTAGTCGCCCTCCTCTGGACACATTCTCCTCTGGACATCCCACAGATATATACACCCCACTTGCCTAGTTTCCAACAGACCTCACAATCTTTGAGGATGCCTGCCATAGATGCAGGTGAAACGTCAGGAGAGAATGCTTCTGGAACATGGCCATACAGCCTGGAAAACTCACAACAACCCAATGCTAGTACTACTTCCCCAGATAAATAACTAGAAATGGGGATGGAATAATATATAGACACGAGTGGACACATGTCCATATATTACTTATTATATCATTGGTTGATGATCTACCACTCAGTGACCACCACATAGAATCTGCATGTACATAATGTGCTGGTGGGATGAATTGAATTGTTACAGACTATAGATAGGTGTGGATCACATTTCTGCCTCATTTGAAAAACTCTGTATAGGTTAAAAAGACATATAACGAATGATGAGTGAGCCATTTCATATGAGGGGGAATTCAAACCTGTTTCCACCCCCTGAAGAAAGGTATCTTCATCACCATTTTAACTTGATGCGACCCAACCAAGATTCTAGCACCTCATTTTAATACATGTGCACATCTGGCTAAATATATTAACCAACTCCGCTTGAAAGCCAGTACTGTGGATCACCTCTTGTCAGCCAACACTGTGCGTGTTTCTGGTTTGTTTATTTTGTATCCCTCTTCTCCCATATGGAAACCAAAACAGCTCACAGTATATATTAAAGCAATACAGCTGTTTGGTGTGCAATGGCTGTTCTATACATGAAAGCTGTTACATCATGCTGCAATCACTAACTGATGAATACACACATGTAAACCTATCCCAAAGGCCTTTAAGAACAAAGGAACCTCATAAAGGTCATTCGGAGGAAAAGTTTACTGTAGTGAAATCTGGCCAACGGTGACATCAGGTGTGAGTACTTTGGATCTAGAGAAATCCATTGCACAGCACACAGAGCAAAACATCTGAACATCTGGGTTGTTGTAGGTTTTTCAGGCTATATGGCCATGTTCTAAAACAGGGGTTCCCAAACTTTTTGAACAGAGGGCCGGGTCACAGTCCCGCAAACTGTTGGAGGGCCGGATTATAATTTGAAAAAAAAAAAAGAATGAATTCCTATGCACTCTGCACATGTAGTATTTGCAGTGCAACCCCCCCCCCCAAAAAAAATCAACAAACAAAAACCCACACTTCTATATAAATAAAAATGTAATGTTCGTTTGTGGGATTAACAGAACTCAAAAACCACTGGACGAATTGACACCAATTCTGGACACAAGACACCTAACAACCCAGTGTATGTCCTTCACTCAAAAAAAATGATTTTGTCATTTGGGAGTTGTCGTTGCTGGGATTTATAGTTTACCTACAATCAAAGAGCATTTTGAACCCCACCAACGATGGAATTGAACCAAACTTGGCACACAGTTCTCCCATGCAGAAAATACTGGAAGGGTTTGGTGGGCAGTGTCCTTTGGTTTTGGAGTTGTAGTTCACTTACATCCAGAGAGCAGTGTGGACTCAAACAATGATGGATCTGGACCAAACTTACATGAAGACTCAATATGCCCAAATGTGAACACTGGTGGAGTCTGGGGAAAATAGAATCTTGGTATTTGGGAGTTGTAGTTGCTGGGATTTATAGTTCACCTACAATCAAAGAGCATTCTGAACCCCACCAACGATGGAATTGAACCAAACTTGGCACACAGTTCTCCCATGACCAACAGAAAATACTGGAAGGGTTTGGTGGGCAGTGTCCTTTGGTTTTGGAGTTGTAGTTCACCTGCCTCCATAAATCACTGTGGACTCAATGATAGATCTGGACCAAACTTGGCACTGATACTCAATATGTCCAAATGTGAACACTGGTGGCGTTTGGGGTTGTATTTGCTGGGATTTATAGTTCAATCAAAGAGCATTCTGAACTCCACCAATGATGGAATTGAACCAGTCTTGGTACACAGAACTCCCATGAACAACAGAAAATACTGGGTTTAGTGGGCATTGACCTTGAGTTTTGGAGTTGTAGTTCACCTGCCATCACCACGCCGGCGTTCCCTGGCCACACCCACCCAGCGCATTTAACTCTGATTTCTTCTGTAAACTGCGTTAGAACTTTTCACACAGGGGCACACTTGAGTCAGTTGTTGTGAACAAATAACAATGTTGTTTATTTGAGAGAACTTGAACAATAAAGGCACTAGCTTAGCAGTTACAATATTGAATAAAAGCTTGTGGTTACTTTCAATAAACAGTTCAGCACTTAGTTTCGATAACTCTTCTCCACTCCCTTAAGAAACTAAGAGGTTTTCCCTCTGTCTAGTCTTCTTGAAACTCCACACAGACAATCCTTTCCTTCTGGATCTGTCTCTCCACTCCACCAGCTATTCTATCTAATAGCTATAAATCTTCTCACTAACTAACTCTTCTAACTGACCAACCTCTAGCTTCTCTAACTCTGTTCCTACGACACACACTCCCCCACTCCTCTCTCCTTCACACCAAAATCCAATCTCCCGTCAGATTTTAAAACGCAACCTTAAAGACATTTTTTTATTTTCTCAAGTTAAGCTCCACCCACTCTCTCCCAGCCAATTACAAACTCCCCACATTTCCCTCCAGGCTGCTCCTAAGCACTGCCCCCTCTACGAAATAAGTTTCCCACACAAAAAACCTACAACAACCCTGTGATTCCAGCCATGAAAGCCTTCGGCAATACATCTGAATATTATCCACACAAAGATGTGCACAGTAACATGTGCGCAAAAATGGTCCAAGCACACAACAGACCATGACTGAGAGTAAGGGTCTTTCACCATAAATTAAATTTTGAAATAAAAGCCTACTGACAGTGAAACACTCTGAACTTTATATGCACCAAGTTCCTGGTAATGGAAGTCTTCCACCACTGTAATGAAGTTCAAATGCTTGAAAATCATATTGGAATTTCCCAATCTAACACACCCAAGAGTTGCAATCCTGGACTGTTTCAGACACCCCAAAAGCAGTTGACATAGTCCTGCATCAGCCGCAATAACTCACCCGCTGGTTTTTACGTAGCTGCCTGCCTTTATCTGATGCATCCCGTTGAGAAAACCAGGTAAGAATCATTTCTTCTGCTAAAATTTCCAGCTGGTAGAACGTCATCAGCACCTACAGGAGCAGAGCGTTATTATTTAACTGTATCCTTGGATAAACTATTTTTTTTCATGTCAGGAGCAACTTGAGAAACCGCAAGTTGCTTCTGGTGTGAGAAAATTGGCTTGCGTTATGAACAAGATAGGTCTTGTAGGTTGCTCTTGAGTTAAATTTATATGTAAGTCAGGACAGGTACATTTTAAAGTGTAACTCAATCCCAATTTTGTTTTTGTTTGATAGCGAAGTGTTAATGCCGCTGCAATGTTTGTCTTGCTGCCTGTGATCCTGTTCAGAAGATTTCACCTCACATTCTGTCCCTGTGACAGTAGCATTTTGAAAATTTTGAATTGTTGTGAAAACAATGATTGGTGATTAAGGGCCCTTCGACACAGCCCAATATCCCAGAATATCAAGGCAGGAAATCCCACATTATCTGAGTGTGGACTTACGTAACTCAGTTCAAAGCAGATATTGTGGGATTTTTTGCCTTGATATTCTGGAATATAGGAGTGGAAGGGCCCTCCGTGGAGAGTGAGACCCTCTTCCCCATGATAGTAACTCTTTCAGGAGTGGATTTCCCTTCCTAGGGATAGATTTCCTCTCATTTCCTGTTGTCTCATCCCCGTTTGTAAGTAGAAGTCACATGTAAGTCGGATGTTTGTAACTCAGGGGCTGACTGTGGTTTAAATGCTTGTGTCATTCTGGAACCAAGTAAAAGGATGTTATTTACAACCTTTGTAATCTAATAAATTTTATACAAATCTGCACAAGTATTGTGGCTTTCGATTTTAGCTGATATTAATTATAGAATCACATAATAATTGAGTTGGAAGAGACCTCATGGGCCATCCAGTCCAACCCCATTCTGCCAAGAAGCAGGGAAATCACGTTCAAAGCACCCCTGACAGATGGCCATCCAGCCTCTGCTTAAAAGCCTAGAAAGCATTCCCTTGATTTAGTTTGTTGAACTCTTTAATATGCTTAAATTCTGCTTGAATTATTTCCTTATGTTTTCCATTGATTGTATTCAAACAATTTAGCCAGGAATCCCTGGTGACGCAACAGCTTAATTAATTAATTAAAAACTTTTGTATATTGTTCTTCTCTAACCTCCGTAGAGGGACTAAGGACAGTTCACAGCAAGGATTCAATGATAACAATAAAACCATTTAAATATTACATAACAATAAATACAAATACAATAAGATCAAATACATATAAAACCAATTTGCCAAGATGAAACAACGTCCCACTCAGTCCACACATTGTGGTCAATACATTGGTCAGTTACCGGTCTCAGCCAAGCAGGATTTCACCTGCTTCCTAAAGGTCAGGAGGCAGGTGGCAGATCTAACTTCATTTGGGAGAGAGTTCCATAGCCGGGGGGCCACCACAGAGAAGGCCCTGTCTCTCGTCCCCACCAGATGCAACTGCGAAGGTGGCGGGACTGAGAGCAGGGCCTCTCCGGAAGATCTTAACGCCCTTGATGGTTTGTAGGGGAGAATACGTTTGGATGGGTAAACTGGGCATTGTGCTGGTAGGACTGCTGACCGAAAGGCCGTCAGTTCAAATCTGTGGAGTGGGGTGAGCTCCTGTCTGTCAGCTCCAGCTTCTCATGCAGGGACATGAGAGAAGCCTCCCACAGGATGGGAAAACATCCGGCCACCCCCTGGCAAACGTCCTTGCAGACAGCCAATTATATTGTTCATAACACAGGGACTGCCTGTAATTGAACTTTTAATGCAGGGGTCCTCAAACTTTTAAAACAGAGGGCCAGGTCATAGTCCCTCAAACTGTTGGAGGGCCGGATTATAATTTGAAAAAAAAAATGAATTCCTATGCATACTGCACATATCTTATTTGTAATGCAAATTACAAACTTACAAATTAAAATGAAGAACAATTTCAACAAATATAAAATTATTGGTATTTCAATGGGAAGTGTGGGCCTACTTTTGGGTGATGTGATAGGATTGTTATTGTTGTGTTCTTTCAAGTCATTTCAGACTTAGGTTGACCCTGAGCAAGGGCAGGATAAATGACCTTGGAGGGCCGCATCCGGCCCCTGGGCCTTAGTTTGAGGACCCCTGTTTTAATGGGAGCAAGGCTGCCACGGCAGAGAAGGCCCTACCTCACAACCTCCCACACTGTATTCTCCCCATTGGTGGGACACAAATGAGGGTCCCTCCAAAACACCTCAGTCCTCAGGCATGCAAGTATCGTGGGCTTCTTCACTGGAACTGCAAGGGCAACCCAGAAGACAATAATCCTCCAGGAGGACAAAGCAAAAACTGCTTTCCAGCACATTTGAGGCCATTGTTGGGTCACAGAGCCCAACGGTTCTGCTAAACTCTAATGAGGCATGAGCAGCCTCCATTCTGCAAGTGAACAAAGTTGATGTTCTGCTATGAGACTATGTGAGTGACTGTAACGCTCCTTTAGTTTATTTTGTTTACACAAAAGACAGTTATGCAGGGTAAAGTGGGAAAGAATGCAAAGTAATGTTCTCGTAGACCTCAAAACAGAAAGCAAGCATTCAATCTGGTCTTCTTGATCTTTGCAGAAACTTTGAGCTGCAAGTCCTAATTACCATATATTCTGGCATATAAGACTATTTTTTAACCCAAGAAAATCTTCTCAAAAGTAAGGGGTCGTCTTATACATGGGAGTAATCTATGTGGGGCTGCCCTTGAAGACGGTTCGGAAATTTCAATTGGTTCAACGGGCAGCAGCCAGGTTACTAACTGGGGCAACTTATAGGGAGCGGTCAAGCCCCCTGTTTAAGGAGCTCCATTGGCTGCCGTTCATTTTCCGATCCCAACTCAAGGTGCAGGTTCTTACCTACAAAGCCCTGAACGGTTTGGGACCCGCCTACCTGCGTGACCGCATTTCTGTGTACAAACCCATGCAATCTCTTCAATCATCTGGGGAGGCCCTGCTCACGCTCCCGCCCCCTTCGCAGGCACGATTGATGGGGACGAGGGAGAGGGCCTTCTCCTTGGTGGCCCCCCGACTCTGGAACCCACTCCCCAAGGATATCAGACAAGCCTCCACATTAGCAGTCTTTAGGAGGAGCCTGAAAACGTGGTTGTTCCAGTGTGCCTTCCCTGAATAAAGGAAACAATTCCCTTCAAAATATCCTGAGAAGCACTTTAATTACCTGTTGGATTGCTCTCTACTTTTCTTTTAAAACCCTCCTTCTAGATACATCCTACCTCTGTTCATGTCCGGCGTTTATTTTTAAAGTTTTAACTATTACATCTGGCCCAGCCATAGGTTTTTAAATCCTTGTGTGTTATTGTCTATGTGTGAGTTATAGTAATTTTGCTTATTGCTTGTTGTTTTTATTGATGTGCTGTTGGGCTTGGCGAGTATATCCCAAACTCTACATTTTAACTGGAAAAGTTGGGGGTCGTCTTATACGCCCAGTCGTCTTATATGCCGGAATATACGGTAAATGTGAAATGAGGATACAGTCAGCCAGAGCTAACTGTTCATACCAAACCAGTCTCTTTCGGCCTGATTCTCTCCAATCCTGAACATAGCAAACATCTTCCAAGATTTTCTTAAAATGCTGCCTGGAATTGCTTCAATACTGAACCCAGATTATCATATGTAGAAAAATACAGTCCCACATTAATACTTCTGTAGCAATAAAATTCCACTTTAACAATCCTGGTTTTGTGATCTGATTTTGCAGTTGGTGCACTGTTGCTGCAAATCAAGGACTTGAAATGCTCCTGTCCTGTAAGCAGCAAAAGGCAACTGTGCTGACTCAAGACCTTGGCCCCCAAAACAAACAAAGCCCTCTCAATGATCAGCAAAGACTGCTTAATCAACTCCTGCTTACAGGCACATGGGCTCTGCCCTTCCTGATAAGAGCAAAGCTAAGCCCTGCCTCAGAAAACAAGGCATTATTCAACCACCCATCTCTCTGCCAGAGACAGGCTCTCAGATCCTTCCAACCAGGATGGGAACTTACTTCGGCCATGGACACACGCAGGCTCTCGTGTTCCAGGAAGAACTCTTCAATGGCGTGCAAGGCGTCCAAGTGGTCCGTGGCTCGTTTTATGTAATTCTTGAAGACTGGAGCCCAATTCTTCAGTAACTATGATGAGAAGGAGACAAGCAGGACACAAAAAGGCAGTCACTTAGACCAGCTAGTTTAACTACTATAGAATTTGATCCAGATGTACGGACACTGTTACAATTACAGGGAAACATTAAAATTTAGCATATTCTATATTTTAGGCAATTAAAATGCATGTATATGTATATCTATAGCTAATTTATATTTAAAAAGAGTCTTCTTGGACAGATTTATTGTTCAGAGGAGTCCCCCTGAGGCTGAGAGAATGTCAATGGCCCATGGTCATCTAATAATAATAATAATAATAATAATAATATCTGCCTGCTACAAAGAACTGGTGGGACCACAAGGCAGAAAAAGTTACAGAGAATGAACATGTCAAGCTACTCTGGGACTTCTGGATTCAGACAGACAGAGTTTTGGAGCATAATACTCCTGACCTCACGATCGTGTTAAAAAACAAAGTATGGATTGTCAATGTTGCAATCCCGGGTGACAGTAGGATTGAAGAGAAACAACTGGAAAAAATGACACGATATGAGGATTTAAAGATCGAACTGCAAAGACTCTGGCACAAACCAGTAAAGGTGGTCCCAGTGGTGATTGGCACACTGGGTGCAGTGCCTAAAGACCTTGGTTTGCATTTGGTCTGCACTTAAACACAATCGGCGCTGACAAGATTACCATGTTTCTAGACCACACCTCTCTCCCAAAACTGCCAACCTTTCCATCAGTAAGTTCGGCAGCTCAGTGGTTTAACCCACTGGGGGCTCCTTGAAAACCTAGCGCCTTGAAGATTTGGCAATGTATAATCAGATCTGTATCTCTAAATCTGCAGATTCTATTTCCTATCAATAAACATATGAATTGCTAAATCAGCAGCGAGGAATACATGGCCTCCAGACACTGGACTGGAATTCCTATCAGCCCTAACCAGCTTAGGCAATGGTCACTGACAGTATTTATTATTTATTTATTTACTATATTTATATATCGCCCCTCTCAGCCCAGAGGCGACTCGGAGCAGTTCACAAATTGGCAACAATTCGATGCCTCAACAATTATAAGAAGTAAAAACAATCAAGAAATTCTGTTAAAAACAATAACATATGATATAAAAAAATATAAAAACCGTACAAAGCCTTAAAACATTATCGTGAGCATCTCCATGTCATATTGTTATTCCATTGCGTTATTAAGTAGTTCCATAATTCCATTTAGCTATGCTGTATTTGGGAAGGCCTGCTCAAAAACCCAGGTTTACACCTTTTTTTCAAAAAGTCAGGAGGGAGGGAGGGAGCCGATCTTATATCTCTAGGCAGGGCATTCCACAGTCGAGGGGCCACCACTGAGAAGGCCCTGTCTCTCGTCCCCGCCAGACGCATCTGTGAAGAAGGCGGGAGCGAGAGCAGGGCTTCCCCAGAAGATCTTAACATCCTAGATGGTTAATAAGGAGAGATACATTGTAGGGTAAGAACTGCACTCCCAAAAAAGTCTAAAGGATCAAAAAGAGACATTCAAGGAAACTCAGGAAGGAAGCTCACCGGGACTATCAGCACACAATAGCGCTTGGGATCCTTTTCTGCATTCATTTGCTGCAGGGGGAATTCTAGGACCACTTTGCTGAGCACCTCCATCACCTCTTTCAAGCCAATATTATAGGCATATCTGTAAAGGGAAGAAAAACACACAAAATATTGTCAAAGGCTTTCATGGCTGGAATCACTGGGTTGTTGTAGGTTTTTCGGGCTATATGGCCATGTTCTAGAGGCATTCTCTCCTGACGTTTTGCCTGCATCTATGGCAAGCATCCTCAGAGGATGTTTGCCATAGATGCAGGCAAAACGTCAGGAGAGAATGCCTCTAGAACATGGCCATATAGCCCGAAAAACCTACAACAACCCAAAAAAACAAAAGTTTTAGAGGATAGCCTTAGTTTTCGTCCCTTATAGAAAATACCTAGGACTAAAGCCAGTCTTAGTGTCACCAAGAGTAGACACAATGGAAAGAAAGGAGCAATCTGTATTCGAAGGTCACACAGATTTCATTGCTCTGCTCTAGTTAATGCTAATGTTATATTCAGTTCTTATTTTTCCCAATTTTATTAGCCATCTTTAAAAAAACTAACATCTACGCAATGATGAAACTATGTTGTTCTGATTTTTCCAACTTCATTAGCCATCTTTTAAAAAATCCAGTGTAGACAACGATGAACTAGGTAAATCAATGATCTGCCACTGTATAAATTCATGGATTTACAAACTGCCTTTCAACAGGATTCCCAAGGCAGCTTGTTGTATGCTAGTGGTGCTTCACATGTCTATCTAAGCAACACCACCCTCCAAAAGTCTAACATGCTTCGCCCCACAAGGAGCATACAATTTAAATGCTGACCATCGGGAAATTAGAGTAAGGAAATAAATAAAATGTCAAGAAAAACAAAGGAAAATGTAATCCAATTCTTTTACAAACCAGGGTTCTGCAGATCACTAAGAGTTCCAATGAGAGATTGTGATTAGAAAAAAACACCCTCAACTTCTAAAAAGTTCTGGATACAATATTTTCTATGCAGGGTTCTCTGAGACATGAACAAAAGAAATATTTTAAGGCTGTCTCTGGGGTGAAATGGTTGAGAAAGGCTAAGCCAAGCCAAAGTCTTCATGTAAAAGCTGAACGAATGACAGATGGCTTACTATGCAAAATTCTACCTAGATGAACACTGCAGAATTGAAAAACCAATTATCTTATGGATTTTTCTTTAAATAAAAGGTAGGACATGTGTTTTAAAAGACACAAGCTGCATCTTTAAAAGTGACAGTGTTTACTGCATCCACAGGCCTTGTGTCTAAATAATAATAGCAATAATAATAGTAGTAGTAGTAGTAGTAGCCGCCAAACACACAGTACTGTGAATAATATAAAAATACATTGATAGAGATAGGCTATTCTTACTAAGTGGAATGTTATGCTTTGGTCTGAAAAATCCCCAAGGCTCCGTAAACTGTTAGATAAATTAATACAGTTTGCTAAATTAAGAATATGGTTAATGCAAACAATCTACAGACCCATGAAGAAAATCCAACAAATGCTACATTTAGCAAAGGACAAGAGGGATCCTCTCACTTCTGCAGGAGTCTACCATATCCCATGCAGCTGTGGACAAGTCTACAGAGGGACCACCATACGCAGCAGCATTGCCCAAACACGAATGAAGAAACATGAAAGGCACTGCAGACTACTTCAACCAGAGAAGTCAGCCATAGCAGAGCACCTGATGAACCAACCTGGACACAGCGTATTATTTGAGAACACAAAAATGCCGGACCACTCTCACAATCACCATGTCAGACTGCACAGAGAAGCCACTGAAATCCACAAGCAGGTGGACAATTTCAACAGAAAGGAGGAAACCATGAAAATGAACAAAATCTGGCTACCAGTATTTAAAAAGACTCTAAAATCAGGACAATAAATAAAGAGCAACACTAAAAAAAAACAGGAATTCCAGGTAAAAAACAATCAGGGCCAGCTAACACATCTCAACAAAGGATTCTCCCAGGCAGCAATCAGCCACGCTTTGAAGTTGTAAGGCCATTTAATGCTAATCAAGGTGGCCAGTTGCAACATTCACACTTGCCTCAAGCAGACAAGAGTTCTTTTTATATTCCACAGATACATAAACCCCACTTGCCTAGTTTCCAACAGACCTCACAACCTGAGGATGCCTGCCATAGACGTGGGCAAAACATCAGGAGAGAATGCTTCTGGAACATGGCCATACAGCCCGGAAAACTCACAGCAACCCATATGCTTTATACAACTCAACATAACTATTACTGTTTGCTGAAGGAATTGAGTTTTCTCTGCAATGGTTTTATGGCTTGTGATGGTTTTACAAAAAGATATGTACTGATTGTTATTGTCGTATATAAGAGGAGAATTGCTGTTGAATCCAGCAAATGTAACAGATGTTATCTTACTTAAGAGAGTTAATCTCCAAAACCAGGTTGTCACAGGAGATGTTTTCCTCTTCACCTCTCTGCAGGGTCCCCAGCACCTCATTCTGGAAAACTGCAGACAAGGCGAAAGCAGATTCATTAGCTCAAGTACAGAGTATACATAGTAAAAGCCAACAATCACAGCAGGACTCATTTTCCAAGAGTAGAATATCAAGTGGTCAAACTGGAATTTTTCATCCCACAGATTTGTTCCCCCAAAGAGCACTGCAAGAAGTTCTAACTGCATATCTGGAAAGCAAAAGGTAATTTACCTTTGACGTCATCCAACTGGGGGGAGACCGACCGACTGTCTGGCTGCTCAGACCCCTCACTCATGTTGCTTTCCGACTCACTTTCTTCTTCGGCACTTAAAATAGGACCTAATGTAGATGGGAGGAAAAACAACAACATAGAAGCATAGAATCAGAGCTGGAGAAGACCACACAGGCCACACAGTCCAATCTCCTGCAGTGCAGGAAAAGCACAAAGCATTCCCGACAGATGGCCATCCAGACTCTGTTTAAGAGCCTTCAAAGAGGGAGCCTCTACCACACTCCAAGGCAGTGAGTTCTACTGCCAAACGACTCTTAGGGTCAGGAAGTTCTTCCTAATGTTCAGGTGGAATCTCCTTTCCCAACTCAGCTTTGTCCACATACCTCATCAGCATCTCTAAGTCTCAGTCTGGGACATAATTGTCTATTCATTAGAAATGGTTCAAGTTATCAGTTTCTTATAATTTTAGCACTTGCATTTCAGAAAAAGAATTAGCTATGAAATTAAAAATAATTGAAATTGTGGATTTAAATGCCATTAATGTATTATGGTACTAATCAAAAATATAGTTTTGACAAAATTAGCTAGCTACTATAGCTGCCAGTGAGCAAAGTACTAATATTCTAATTATGCACTTTAAGGATCTTAACTTTAACTGGTTATCTTTATCTCTTTAGTTTTGTAGGGTGTTTTTTTGCTAGTAAATCATTTCTGTTTACCATCCCAGCCTTTTTGTCTACTCTGCATTAATTTATATTTCTGTTTATTGTTCTAGTTAGCCCTACAAGTTATACATTATTCCAGATATTTATGAGTCATTCTGAATTTTGAGTGTATCAGTTCGTAATTTGTAGCTAGAATTAACGAGAGAGTTGTTATCCCCATTTTGTCAATATGATTCACTCTGTTTGATTCATGCTGTACACTTTAATCTCTCAAAGTACCATTGTTAAGCTAAGAGGAAGGAAAACTGAACTTTTAGTCTATCTATTCAGGAAAAGATGTGCTTCAGATGACGTGTTCAACAATTATGCTCACAACCAAGATCAAGGGAAGGGAACTTAGTTATGTCCTAAATGGAATGGTTTGATGATATGATTGGACAATGCTTTTAACGAGGAGACCCTAATGATACATGTTTTTATTGATTTTATTGATTCTGTTACGGCTTTATTATTAGATTGTTTTCTTATATTGAAGTTGTATTTTATAGTCTTGGTACCAACTGTAAACCGTCCCAAGTCGCCTGCGGGCTGAGAGGGACGGCATATAAATGCAGTGAAATAAATAAAAAATAAATAAATATTCTGCTATCCCTTTCTGCTATTTTTGTGTTCCTATGGAATGAGGATAACTATTTAATATGCCTTTATTTAGCTTTTAAGCCCTTAATAGCATATTTTTAACAGACCGTGGACTGTACAACCAGTTTCAGGAAGGAAAGTTGTTTCTTGAGTTTGGAGGATCTTCACAGAAAAGGTACACATTCAGGGCACTACACATATATTTCTTGGTGTATCAGGACCCATTTTGTGTCACACTAAAGCAGCCTTATCTATATTATGTCCCAACTTCTAATCAATGCAAAAGGAACTGTCAAGTTGCTGATGGGACAAGCCACATATTAACATCCTTCCTCACTCTGGCATTACTGACAACAAAATGTTGATAACTTTAATCGCATTTCCATGTAATTTCCTTACCCCAAAGACTATGTGTTTGCTCCTCTCGGTCCACATCATTCTCACTGTCAGCTTTCCAAAGATAACCTCTGCCTTCTGAACCAACTTCTGCAATGTTGTAACCTAGTAAAAAAGAAGGCAATACCAACTTGGTTTCAACCATTCAGTCAAGTCTAAAACATGCAGGCCTAAGAGATAGCCACCCAACACAATTGTGCAATAACCTGAAATTATTGGCATTTTTACGAGTAATTTCCACTTGTAGAGATCCTATCACGGGGTTTCCCTGGCAAGATTTGTTCAGAGGGTTTGCTAATGCTGTCCTCTGAGGCTGAGAGTGTGTGACTTGTCCAAGATCACCCCAGATTTTATGACCGCGTGAGGATTCAAACCCAGGTATCCGGAGTCATATTCCAAGTTCTCTCCACTGAAGTGTAACATACATTTTGATCCAACTTCACATTTTTATCTTGTATTCTTAACTATATAGAAAATTAACATATTTTTATCAGTTTTATACTAATTTATGTATCAAATAAAAATTTATTTGATACGAAATAAATAAATTTTCTATTGCCATTCTTTATACTTTTTTTTTTCAAACAGATTTTAAAAACCAAAAATATTTATACTAGGCCTATCACAATTTTTTTAAGAAAAAGCTTGGCACAGAAGATTTAAAAAATCTCACAAAAGTTCCGACCTTCACATTTCAGCCATAAGAACTTTCAAACAGATATTTTAAAGGACTTGAAGGTAGGGTTTTAGAATCAACTAGGAAGTAGAGGGGCCGCGGTGGTGCAGCAGGTTAAACCACTGAGTTACTGAACTTGCTGACCAAAAGGTCGTGGTTCTAATCTGTGGAGCAGGATGAGCTCCCATCGTTACTCCCAGCTTCTGCCAACCTAGCAGTTCAAAAACATGTAAATGTGAGTAGATTAATAGGTATCGCTCAGGCAGGAAGGTTAACAGCGCTCAGTGCATTCGTGCCGGCCAAATAACCTAGGAGGTGTCTATGGACAACGCCAGCTCTTTGGCTTAGCAATGGAGATGAAAAACACCCCCCAGAGTCAGACATGACGAGACTTAATATCAAGGGAAACCTTTCCCTTTACTTTTAGGAAGTAGAGTTGATTGAGTTAAGGCAAGAACCTGGAGTGGCATAGTATTCTGAATTTGAAATTCTGGGCTAGAGTATTTCGAGAAACCAGGGTTCAATTTCCCATTTAGCAACAGAATGACCTTGTGCAAGTCATATTCTGAACCTAAGAGAATGGCCAAGGCCAACAACCTCTGAACAAATCTTAGCAAGAAAAACTGATGATAAGCCTATAAAGCATGCAACAGCAGAGCTAAGTACATTTCCTATTTATTGCATTCATTAGGGACAAGCTCCTACAGCAGCGGTTCTCAACCTGGGGGTCACAACCCCCAAGGGGATCGCTTGGCCATTTTCTGGGGGTCGTGAAGGCGCCTCGGTTGGCCCCGCCCCCTCCGCCTCCTTAAAATGGCTACCAGCCGATGCCAGGGAAACAGCCAGACTTTCCAGGTCAGCTGCTCCACCTTACGCGAGGCCTCCCTTGCCTGCATTGCTCTCCCGCCGGCAGGCAGGAGCGCGGGGCAGGCGAGTATCCCTTCGCGCAAGACTTTGCGAGAGGCCTCCCTCACCTGCATCGCCCTCCCGCCGGCAGGCAGGGGCATGGGGCAGGCGAGGGAGGCCTCACGCAATGAAAGCACATCCTGCATATCACATATTTACATTACGATTCGTAACAGTAGCAAGATTACAAATAATTTTATGGTTGGGGGTCACCACGACATGAGAAAGCATATTTAGGGGTCACAGTGTTAGAAAGGTTGAGAACCACTTTCCTACAGGATCATGCTTCTTATGTAACTAATCTGTTTTCATGGTCAATCAGGCATTCTCTTTATTTATATTCTGCCTTTCCCCTAAGCTTCTATCTTCGTCATTCTCTTAGGGATGAGTATTTTTAATCAGTCACTTAACTAAAAGAAATATTGCACTTTCCATTTGTCTATATGTGGCAGACTTCAGAAAGGGGATTGTGTCAAAGCAGGACGGAAATGAATTAAGTGCTTCCCAGCAATTCCCAACATACCTTTTAGCTTTGCCTTGCTCTCTTCTCTGTTCACCCCAGAATCATCGCTGAACTGGTCATCGTCTTCCTCCACCTCATCTGTAGGATGGAGGGAGATAACAGTGCCTTCTGGAAGGGTTATATCAGGACCCACCACCACCTAAAAATGAAGCAATGCTTCCATTACAACACCAGCATCATCTGGTATTCTGGTTCATCTAGAAGAATAAACAACTCTTGTTCCAGAATTTCAGGGACACATGAGTGAATCCAAGGCTGGAATTAAGACTGCTGGAAGAAACATTAACAATCTTAGATATGCAAATGATACCACTTTGATGGCAGAAAGCAAGGTGGAGTTGAGGAATCTTCTAACCAAGGCAAAAGAAAAAAGTGCAAAAGCTGGGTTGCAGTTAAACAACCCCCCCCCCCCAAGATTATGGCTAGCAGACTGATTGATGGCAAATAGAGGGAGAAAATGTGGAGGCCGTGACAGACTTTGTATTTCTAGGTGCAAAGATGACTGCAGACATAGATGGCAGCCAGGAAATCAGAAGACGTTTCCTTCTTGGGAGGAGAGAAAGGACCAATCTCGATAAAATAGTGAAGAGTAGAGACATCACACTGGCAATGAAGATCCACATAGTTAAAGCAATGGTATTCCCCGTAGAAACCTATGGATGCAAGAGCTGGACTATAAGGAAAGCTGAGCGAAAGAAGATAGATGTTTTTGAACTGTGGTGTTGAAGGTGCCTTGGATTGTCAAAAGTCCTTGGATTGTCAAAAGTTCAACTAATCCATCCTCCAGGAAATAATGCCTGGCTGCTCGCGGGAGAGAAGGATATTAGAGGCGAAGATGAAGTACTTTGGTCACATTATGAGAAGACAGGCAAAATGGATGGACGGCATCCTTGAAGTGACTGGCTTGACCTTGAAGGAGCTGGGGGTGGTGACAGCCTACAGGGAGCTCTGGTGTGGACTGAACCAGGAGGACACGAACTGACTGAATAAAAAACCAGGAGTCTTCTAAATTGTCAAAAATGCCAGCTAAAGAAAAAGATCAGAAAATGCCAGGCAACCAGAAGGAAGGAGGAAGTCCTGATGGCTCTTCGTCATAGAGGATGCACAAACCTTCCAAGGTGCCAAAAAGCTGGACATTAGTCGACACAACACATGTCCTTTTGTTCTGTACCAGGGTAGGACAAAGGACTCTTGTCTGCTGGAGCTAGGTCCTACCCTTTTCATTCCACAGATATATAAACCCATTTTCCTAGTTCCAACAGACCTCACTACCTCTGAGGATGCTTGCCATAGATGCAGGCGAAACGTCATGGGAAAATGCCTCTAGAACCTGGCCATATAGCCTGAAAAAACCTACAACAACCCAGTGATTCCGGACATGAAAGCCTTTGGCAATACGTTAATAGAAATGTACTACATGCACGGATAACAGGCGTGAAGAATATACAAAAGGAAAAATTGGTTGACAAATTAATAGCATGTGCACACATTGTTTTAGTGAGGGGTTGGAAGGATAAAACAAAATGGACACTGACTAATTGGTATTGCTATATAGTTAATATGTTAAATGTGGAAATAACAAATTGTAAATGGAATAATATAGATAAAATTGAAAAGGTCACAATAACGAAGAGGATTAGGGATTATTTAGAAAATGGGCTAAGATGTGGAGTAGAAAAATTAAGACTGAGACTGATATTTCAAATGTAACTTCTGGAGTTTGATATATAAATTGCATATACAAGGAGGGGAGGGTGGGAGTGGGAAAAAACAATAAAACAATAAAAAATGAAAAGAACACACCGAGGATAGAGCAACCACCCTTCAAGCTCACCTGGGAAGTGAGGACACAGTGCGAGTTTAGTGTCACGCCTTTCTTGACTACAGCTTCATCGCAGACAATTGACTGCCGGATTGTCACACCGTCTGCCACGCTCACCCCATTCCACAGGAACGCCCTGTCCAGAACAACCTCATCACCTGCAAAACATCACCAAAAGAACATGGAACACAACGGTCATCTTAGGTTGCATACATTGTGCAGCAGAAATTAACTATAATTTAACACTGTGGATATTCAGCGCTAAAATCCTGGGAGCACAGTGGCACATCTAATGTATTCCCTCTAAACCACATTAGGCACCTGCTAGTTTGATTCTCCACTACCTTGGCTTGTCTATTTGCACTCCTGCCTTTCATTATCCTTCTCTTATCCATGCAATGGGCAAACTATGTCATCTTTTGTGTCCTTTAATGTACTGAACAGGTTGTTACAGCTCAATGGGAAGGTAATATTCATCTTTTTTTTAGAATAGTTAGCCTCCATGGCCCCCACACCTTTGCAGCCAGAGTGCTTCAATAGCCTGGCTGCCTAGCCATAACAACACCTGGTGAATGACTTCTTGTGTCTTTATTGTATAAGATCAAGACCAGATTGAAGTCCAAAGAAAATAGGGCACAAATAAGAAACAATTATAACTTGTAAGCTGCTCTGAGTCCCCTTCAGGGTGAGAAGGGCGACATATAAATGTAGTAAACAAACAAATATATATATATATCAGATTATTCTCAAGATAGTTTAAGCAACAAGAAATGTGAAAAACAACAAACATCACAATAGAACACTATCTTATACACCAGCAGTTTTTACTTTTCTGGCTGATAAATGGGTGGATGGGGCCATCTGGCAGTGTCTGGAGGGTGTGCTTCCATTCTTCACCTGTTTTAAATCAACAAAGAGCTGGATGTTCCTTCTGGCAGGGAACAGATAAGCAGCTGCCTGCTTGACTCTGTGGGAAGACTGAGGCTTCCATAAAGTCTTCTAGCTGTTAGGGCAGTGATTCCCAACCTTTTTTTGACCAGGGACCACTTTGAGCAGGGACCACTCTCACATCAATAGCACCCAAAGGGTTGCAAATCAGTTTTTGGTCAACTTTAGATTTGGTTTGATTATTTGGAGTGCTGATTCAGAAAACTGCATTGGCTAGACCACATCAGTTCTAGTTTCTGATATAGAACATATGCCATCCAGTAGTCGCCATCTAGTAGTCGCTCACTTATAAAAAACGTATTTAATAAGCCTCAACACTATAAGAGTATTTCGTGAGACTAGTCGCTCTTGTTGCTACTGTATAGTAATGGTGAGGCCATATTTTAGTTCTTGCAGACCACTGGTGATCCACGGACCACAGGGTTTGCAACTTCACAATAGCCTTCACTCCCCCAGCCAATACCAATGCTAAATTGAACTTGCTTTTAGCTTGGAAGTCCCCAGGTAGAATCAAGTGTTCATTTTAAACATGTATTCAAATGTAATCATACATTTAAAAAATCAATAAAAATGCCCCATCTCTTACTGTATTTTAAAAAAATCCTAATAAAAAATATTGATAAAAAAATCAATAAGAATGCACACACACATACACACACAAATTTTCCCATGAATGTAACTTCTAATGTTAGGGAATATACAAACAAGCCGTATCCTGCACGAATAATACACCTTCAAGCCTTTGGACAGGGATCTGCAATGCAATAAGTGATCTGTAAAATACGTGACTATGGAATAGCAATTTATGGAACGGCTCCTGGAATATGTCTTTGGACTGTGTGGTTTTTAATGTACCATAACTGTGATTATGTGTTTTAACTATTCATTTTAATGTATATGTTTTCTTTATTTTATGTATGTTAAAGTGGCATCAAATTCCGCTTTGAGTCCCCCTTGGGGTGAGAATAGCGGTATAGAAATACTGTAAATAAATAAATTGTGCCTTTTTTGTAAACCGTCCTGAGTCCCCTGAGGGATTGAGAAGGACAGGATGAAAACGCAGTAAATAATAAATCTATTGTTTTAACTGTCCCATAATAGTTTTATGATGTTTTGCATTGAATTTTGCTGTTGTTAACCGCTTTGAGTCGCCTGAGGGCTGAGAAAAGCGGTATATAAATGAAAGTAAATAAATAAATAAATAAATAAATCTCCTCCAGCCCACAAGGCTGCTTGCCCCCCAAGACACAAGAGAGAGATGTATTTGCTGTTGTCCACTGGGGAGAACTGCATACAGGCTCACTTCTGTTCTGTCTACAGCATGTATTTGGCAGGCTGCAGGACATGACATCTCTGCTCAAGACCTTTCCTTTTCAAAGGGTATTCTGGGAGGGATGGGGTACTGGTGACCTAAACCACATATTCCTCCTGAACACAGGAATCCATTCCAAAAATAGTTGCCCCCCCCCCCTCCACAGCACCAACTACTGCTCTGAGATCAGCGTGAAGAGAAGGGCCATGAAGGCAGTTCCATCTTGCTTCCTGCACTGTGCTTATAATATAATATTGATAATATTATAATGTAATACAATATAATACTAACACTAATAATATGCTATTATAATTATATATTTTATATTAAATGTGATATTACTACTAATATTACAGAACAATGTTATAGTACAATGCAATATATAATATTAATATTGTGCTATGGTAATAACATAATATATTGTATTTACTTTTTACTCATAAGCTGCTCTGAGTCCCCTTCGGAGTGAGAAGGGCGACATATAAATGTCGTAAATAAATAAATAAATAAATATGACCTGGAGTGCTACCAGGCCTTTAATTATTTCTAAATCTCAACCAAGCCATAGCAAAAACAAACAAACACATTTTATGAAAAGAAAATGCTATCAGCCTTAGGCTACCATCTTAAAATTGCATCCCAACAAACAAGGACATTGGCCTGTCTTTAATCAGAAACTCAAATCCCAGTTGTGAAATGCTTGCTGATTTGACCCATAATTTTCCTAATACACATCCAAAGTTCTTTGCAGAAGTTCCAAGATTTAGTGGAAATGCATGTACTGAGAAAGAAAAGTTAATTTAAAAGTCATTTTAAATTTGACTAGAATACATTTATATATATAGAAACTTACTCAATGAGATATATATATATCTCATTGAGTCTAAAGCACTTTCTCGGTCAATGTATACTTTTGAGCTTGAATCCAGTCAAATCACCAGATGATTTCCTCCACTCTGCCTTGGATCTGGCCTATACTTACAATAGCGAACGAGGAACTACAACAGAAGTGGATAATCCTGTCCTCCCCTTTTGTCACTAGGGAGTTATTTACAGCTCCTTTTACTAAAGGTTTGTTACTTCAAGCCATACAAAAGTGGGTGACTCCTCAGGATGCCCCCCGTACCTCCTTGTCTACAGAACTCACCTATATTGCAGTTGGGGCCAATGACACTGTTGGATATGGAGCAGTTTTTGCCCACAGAAGTTCCCTGCCCGATGAGGACATTCTCTTCAAGCACGCTGCCATGGCCCAGGCTCACCTCCGCCCCCCGGTAGATGTTGTGCCGGGAATGGGTGCAGCTCTGCTTCTCGTCGCCAGTGATGTTCATCTCAGGAGCCATTGGATACACCCAGCGTTGGAGGATGTCAGAGGATACGGATTCGTACATCAGCAAGTTAGATACAGGGACACCATACTCTTCTGATGTTGCATGCATATGGATCTGGTTGCCCAGGACCTAATAAACAGAAAGATGTCATTCAGAAGCCAATTCTGCGAGGTGGACCTGGCTTGGTAATTTTACCTTTGGAAATAAACAATTACACCAAACACATGCATGGTTGTCACAATGCACATATTTTATTCCAAGTGAAGAATGCAAATCATCTTTGCAAAGAATATATGCTACCCTGGGGAAAGAGCGATCTCCTAAGACAACTACTTCTTTGAGTAGATATTCACTCCCCCCTTCATCCCATAACTGTTATGTAAATACACTAGGTTTTAGTTCCCCTCAGAAACTTACTTCTTCATTCACCAAAAGGCCACGCACAAAGTCATCTCGAGTTTGATAATCAAAGTTATCTGTAAACAGCTCAGCCACCTGCAAGGAAAGGAGAACCAACTTTAGGTGAAACATGTCAGAAGAGAAAAGCCACAACCCATAATATCAAGCAGAATTCTGGACAGAGATAGCCATAGCACTGCATGAACCAATTACCAACCAATGAGACTACTATAATGCATTGTGTGTGTGTGTGTGTGTGTGTAACTGCCCTTGAAGACGATACAAAACTTACAGCTTGTGAAAAATGCAGCCATAGGACTGATAATTGGATTGCTTTATTAAAAAGGTAAAGGTTTCCCCTTGACATTAAGTCTAGTCATGTCCAACTCTGGGGGGTTGGTGCTCATCTCCATTTCTAAGCTGAAGATCCAGCGTTGTCCATAGATGCCTCCAACGTCATGTGGCTGGCATGACTACATGAAGTGCCGTTACCTTCCTGTCCTATTCATCTACCCACATTTGTATGCTTTTGAACAGCTAGGTTGGCAGAAACTGGAGCTAACAGTGGGAGCTCACCCCACTCCCCAGATTTGAACCATTGACCTTTTGGTCAACAAGTTCAGCAGCTCAGTGATTTAACCTACTGCGCCACAACATGTTAAAGCTAGTCTTTAAAGCACTATATTAGCTTTAAATATACTTTCAGATTGAATTCAAGCTCTTTAGGTGATGAGATGGGACCTCAATATGGAAATGACACTCTTTATAAGTATTTCCATGAGAATTAAGTTCAGAGGGGAAGGGGTCCTCCTGTGTCTTACTAAGTAGTGAAGTCCATACACTACATGGGGATTTGTGAAAGCAGCCCATATTTTGCAGAACTTACCTGTGGAGAACATATGCTAATCTGACAGTCCAACAAATCATGCCGTACTTGGACTTCTTCAATATTACGCTGGAACAAACTCTAGAGAAAGAAAGTAAACATAGTGAAGAACTTAGGAGCCTCTCACAGGATATGCAACACTTGGCATTCTTTGTGCTACTTTGGAGCTTTCATTGAAGGAGAAGTGTTTGAAAAGGACCATGGGGCTGAGAAGATGTGTGATCTCCTCACCAAACACCCAAGTCCTACTTGGAAATCTGCACTTGTTAATGTTTTTACCAACACTAGATCAAACAATAGAAATTAAAGATCTTCTGTGTAGCACATGGTCTACATTGAGGCATAGCTGCCAATCCAACATCTTCCGCACATTTAGAATATGAGTCAGGTGTTTTTCACATCCAGAGCAAGAATCATAGACCCAGATCATGGGGTGGACAGTTGTCAAATAGCCATTTTCAATTTTGGGGAAAGGCTATGTTGTGAGAAAAAAGTATCCAGGACTGAAAGAGCTCTCTGCACTTCATCCAATACTCACCCCTATGATAGGCTGTTTGTATTATCCCATGCCCGATCCTTTTATAGCCTGGTCACACCCATTGCACTACTGACAAATTGGTTATGTCTAACATTGTTTTAATTGAGTTTTAACGTTGCTGTCTTATACTCTTACGTTTTATTGAACTGTGCTTTTATCTGGATTGTTACATTTAACTAGGTTTTTATTTCAATTATGTTTTTGCTATGATAGATTGCTTTGTATTGTGTCTGTGGGCAATTTGTCCCATCTGTTAAGCCGCCCCGAGTCCCTTCAGGGAGATGGTGGCAGGGTATAAGAATAAAGTTGATATTATTATTAAATTGAGAGCCATGCCCACTTAGAGGCTTTTGGGGAATACGATTCTCTATTTTGTTTTTGTTTTTTCCAGCAATGATCAGTTTCAGGGAAGAAGATGACCACTACTCAAAGACTGCCCAATTCTTATCCCAACATAGATCACCTCACTACCTCTGAGGATGCTTGCCATAGATGCAGGTGAAACGTCAGGAGAGAATGCCTCTAGAACATGGCCATATAGCCCAAAAAAACCTACAACAACCCACAGATCAGGAGTATTCCTTCCATGCTTTCTCTGCAACAAAGTGTGTCAATGCAGCTGTGGAAAAGTCTACATAGTGACCACCAAACGCGGCGTTGCCCAAATGCAAATCAAGGAACATGAAAGGCAGTGCAGACTAATTCAACCTGAGAAGTCAGCCATAGCAGAGCACCTGAGGAACCAACCTGGACACAGCATATTATTTGAGAACACAGAAATGCTGAACTACTCTATCAACCACCATGTCAGACTACACAGAGAAGCCACTGAAATCCACAAGCATGTGGACAATTTTAACAGAAAGGAGGAACCATGAAAATGAACAAAATCTGGAGACCAGTATTTAAAAAACTCCAAAATCAGGACAGTAAATAAAGAACAACACTCAAAAACAGGGGAATTCCAGGCAAAGAACAATCAGGGCCAGCTTATCACCTCCCAACAAAGGATTCCCCCAGGCAGGACGCAGCCAAGCCTTGAAGCTGCAAGGCTATTCAATATTAATCAAGATGATCAATTGCAACATTCACACTTGCCTCAAACAGCCAAGCGTTTTTTCTTCCACCCATTCCACAGATATTTAAACCGCACTTGCCTAGTTTCCAACAAGCCTCACAATCTCTGAGGAAGCCTGCCATAGACAAATGTGGACAATTTCAACAAAAAAGGAGAAAATAATGAAAATGAACAAGATCTGGCTACCAGTATTACAAAAACACTAAAATCAGGACAGTAAATTAAGACCAAGACTCAAAAAGCAGGAAAATTCCTGACAAGAATCAATCAGGGCCAGTTAATACCTCCAACAAAGGATTTCCCCTGGCAGGAAGCAGCCAGATTTTGAAGCTGCAAGGCTATTCAGTGCTAATCAAAGCACTCAATCGCAGCATTCACACTTGCCTCAAACAGACAGGACTTCTTTCTCCCACCCTGGATATTATTCCACAGATATACAAACCCCACTTGCCTAGTTTCCAACAGACTTCACAACCTCTGAGGATGCCTGCCATAGATGTGAGTGAAACATCAGGAGAGAATGCTTCTGGAACAAGGCCATGCAGCCCAGAAAACTCACAGCAACCCAAAGTGTGTCAAATTCCAGTTAAGAGACAACAACTTGCATTTTAGGATAAGGCACTCAGATTGCCCATTAACATTGCTCAAGAAGGTGCATAATCCAAATCACTTGAACATTCTCTGATGGCAAGTGTATTTTCAATACAAAGCCGCGGCAAGTTTGGGATAAAAATGTATTTATTTTATTTATTTACTTTATTTATATACCGCTTTTCTCAGCCCTCAAGCGACTCAAAGCGGTGAGAGTTTGCTACCTGCTTAAGGTACAGCACAACCCTTGTAATCTCTGGAGAGACGTGTTTCCAAACTTCACGAGGACATGCAAAACATGGATAATAGTAAATGCTATTGAAATGAAGAATGCCACAGACTCATACTGGAGGACTTAGAAAATACCGACAAAGGATGTATTTTGTAAGACGTAGATAAATGAAGCCATGGATACTGGTCCCACAGATATGAGAGGCACACTTTGTTTGCAACATTCTTCCCTAAATCTCCAGTATACAATCAATAGAGTTGATTATGACTCCCAACAAACTCTCTTTCTCTAAAAGCCAAGAACATTTTCAAATTCTGGAAGCACCTATTAAAAATGATTAAAATAAGAATACTATCTAGAATATTGCTACAACAGTTTACCATGTCAATGAAGAACATCAACAAAAGACAGTACTTTTGAGCATGCAGTATTTTCTAATCGAACTATCCAGTGGCCCTGTAAGAGAGTACTATGCCCATTGCACAGATGTCAGCCTGAGCCTGAAACAGAATGAAAGATTCAACAGTGGTTGAGCATCTGAAGGCCAGGTCTCAAAGAGCCTAGATCTTGAAGGGAACAGCCCAGTTTCCCCAGATATAGATTCTTGGAAGAACTGACTGGGCTGCTTGTCATGTGTTCCCCTGTTAACACACCATGGGGAACCGGAAGCGTTTCAGTCCTCGGGTTTTTTGGTAGTGCAGCACTCGTTTGGTAGCACTGTCCGTGGCAATGATAATATCGTCCTCTTGGCACCGAGCTCGATGACCTGGCGAGCACTCTTTGAAGATCATGGTCATCACAGACACGTTCTTCTCCAGCTTACGTCGTAACCTATACATGAAAGAAAAGGTGGAGGAAAACAGGTTTTGAGTGAAGTGATGAAACTTAACAAATCATCCCTTTATGCAAGGCTGTTGAATCTCTCACCCACACACTTACCTGTGTTCCTGTAAAGCTGTGGATACGTTAATATTGGACACAACATCTCCAGAGACAAGAATGAAGTCTGAACGGACAAGCGACTTGGCATCCACATCCCTCAGCACATCACCAAGTGAGCGATAGAGGTCTGAGGTCACAAACCGCACCGTGTTTGGAGAGTTTGAACGGCACCATTTTGATTTCCTGGAACATAACACAGACAGAAAGGAGTTAAGTAGAAACATTTGCATAGTAAAGCCATGGGCAAACTTTTTAACTTGGGGGCCGCATGGTGGGCCAGAGTGGCGTGGATGGGCAGGGAGGGAGTTCTCCCCAAGCCCCCTTCCTGCCCTTTCCTCCCCTTCATCTTCTCTTTTGGAGGTAGAAAGTGAAGGAAAGAGGGGAGACGTTTGGATCCCAAAAGGGTTGGCCTTGGCCAGGATGAGGTGGTGGATGGGAGAGAAAAAAAGCATACATTAGACTCCGTATTGTCTACTCCTGACATAGAATCCTAGGAAGAGACCCCCAAGGCCATCCAGTTCAACTCCCCTGCCATGCAGGGAGGCACAATCAAAGCACTCCCAATAGACAGTCTCTGCGGAAAAGCCTCCAGAGAAGGAGACTTCACCACACTCCAAGGTAGCTTATGCCACTCTCCAACAGTTCTTACTCTCAGGAACTTCTTCCTATTATTTTCAGCTGAATAACTTTCCTTGCAATTTGAACCTATTGCTCGTCTCTAGAGCAGCAGAAAGTCAGTTTTGCCCCTCTTTCTTCACAATGGGACACCAATTTAAATCTTGAAACATGCTTCTTATGTTTCCTCTCTACCTTCCCTCCTCCCAGCTAAACATCCGCCAGGAGGAAGGAAAAAGAGAAAGGAAGGAAGGAAGGGTGCAATGGAATGGAAGGAGGGAGGGAAGACAAAAGGGAAGGAAGAAAGGAGAAAGAGAGGATGGGAAGGAAGGAAAAAAGGAGGTAAGGAAGGGAAGACAAACCGCTACCCACAGTACAATTAACCCTCAACCCATCCCCAGTGGTACCCAACACTGTGTTGGGTTGTCTATGTATGTGTATGTGCATATGTATATGTTTCTAATGTATACATTTTTAAAATAAAAGATTTATTAATTTAATAAAAATTTTAAAAGGAAGGAAGTGAAGGCAGGAGCAAAGGAGTAAGGAAAGAAAGAAGGAAGGATAGGATGGTGAAAGAGAGGAGGGCCCTCATGTTCCTTCTCCATCTTCCCTTCTCTAAGCTAAACATCCCCCAGTAGGAAAGGAGGAAGGAAAAAGAGAAGGAAGAAAGGGAGGAAAATGGAGGGAGGGGAAAGAGAGGATGGGAAGGAAGGAGGAAGGGAAAAAGAGGGAGGTAAGGAAGGAAGGGAAGACAACCCCCCACCCACAGTACAATTACCCCTCAACCCATCCCCAGCAGTACCCACCACTGTGGCGGGTTGTCTATGTATGTGTTTGAGTGTATATGTTTTTAATGTATATGGTGGGTGTATTACATTTTTAAAATGAAAAGAAAATTAATTATTTTTTTAAAAAAAGGCAGGAAGGAAGGAGTGAAGGAGTAAGGAAAGAGAGAAGGAATGATAGAGTGGTGAAAGAGAGAAGGGCCTGAGAAAAGAGCTCAAGGGTCCACATCCGGCCCCTGAGCCTGGGTTTGCCCATACCTGGCATAGTGTATGCAGTATAAAACTCCTTCTTATTCTGCTCCTGACATGAATAAACAATTTGAATATCAGCATAGATACAGTCAGGCCAAGAATATCTTGGAAACAAAAAATGTTGGTCTGGGAAAATCAGGATAGAAGGTGTGGGCAGTAGCAAAAACAGATTTATTTAATTAATGTATTGTCGAAGGCTTTCATGGCTGGAATCACTAGGTTCTTGTGGGTTTTTTCGGGCTATAGGGCCATGTTCTATTTAATTATTTTCTATATTTATACCCTGTATGTATAAATGTAGATTTGGGGGTTCCAGGTGACTGAAAGATAACGGGAAGAACAAATGAGAACAAGTGTCTTACAGTATATGGTCCTTGATCTCTGCCGACTTCCAGCAGCAAAAGACGAAGGTTTCCTCCACACCAGTTGCTGTGAGGAATTCTAACGTGTAGTCAATCATGGCCACATTTGCCAAGGGAATCAGAGCCTACGAAACAAACAAACAAATAAAAGGTCAGCCAAAAGGTAGATTTTCTTATCAGTGCATTTACAAACAAAAAAAAGAAAGCAAAAAAACCCAACCAAAACATAATGTTCTTTCCGAGGACAAGGGAAACCTACCACACATTAATGTTTTTTGTCAGTTGTGACTTACTAGTTTTAAGAAACATGTAGGATTTGAGAAATAGAAAATTATTTGTCAAAAAAAAGCATTGCACTTTTTTTCTAGCAAACTTTCAATTTTGCATTGTTCTTTGTTAAATATCATTTTCATATCACATGCACTGCTCAGGCAAATCTACAACTTCTACATCAACACATTAAACACCATCAAACTACTAATACACAATGCTTCTGTATTCACAGCAGCGTGAATCTCTAGTTTTTCCCCACAATAACATAGCAACTATCGATTTCAAAAGAAATGCCCAAATTAAAATTCAAAATACAACTACTGCTCCATTAAAGATCCTTCTTGTTGCATGAATTCTTATCAGTCCCACCTCACGCTAACTCTAAGGTGGAACGTATAATGGGATTTCTTGGCACTACATGTCAAGATGGGTTTTGCTATTGCTATTACCTACAAAGCCCTGAACGGTTTGGGACCCACCTACCTGCGTGACCGCCCACGCAATCTCTTCGTTTATCTGGAGAGGCCCTGCTCTCGCTCCCGCCCCCTTCACAGGTGTGATTGGTGCGGATGAGGGAGAGGGCCTTCTCTATGGTGGCCCCCTGACTCTGGAACTCTCTACCGAAAGATATCAGACAAGCCCCCACTTTGGCAGTCTTTTGGAGGAGCTTGAAAACATGGCTGTTCCAGTGTGCCTTCCCTGAATTAAGGAAATAATGCCCGATTTGACCAATTTCCTTCTATATGTTCTCTGAAGCACTTATCTATCCGTTGGATTGATCCCCCCATATCAATCTTTAAAACCCCCATGCCTAGACATACCCTACTCTGTTCACGCCCAGGGTTTTTAAATTTTAATCTACATCTGGCCCAGCCATAATGTTTTCAAATCTTTAGTGTCTTATTGCTTATATGTTCAACTGTATTATTTATATTGTCTTATTTGCTTGCTTGTTTGTTGATATATTGTTGCATTTGTATTTGACGGGCTTGGCCTCATGTAAGCCGCACCGAGTCCCTTCAGGGAGATGGTGGTGGGGTATAAATAAAGACTATTATTATTATTATTATTATTATTATGAGACTGAGAGAGTGTGACTTCTCCAGGGTCACCTTGTGGGTTTCCATGTCCAAGCGAAGATGTGAACTCTGAGTGTCGAGTCCAACTCACACCACTGCATCATGCTGGGTCTCTTCCCTCTCTTTGTATATATCCTCCATGATACTAGGTAAGATTTTTTCAAAGTGTTTCCTCTTACAATAACACAATTTTCAACAAAACGTACTGCCACTTTTTGAAATGCATCATCTACTTTGGGTGGTTGTAGGTTTTTTCGGCTATATGGGCATGTTCTAGAGGCATTTCTCCTGACGTTTCGCCTGCATCTATGGCAAGCATCCTCAGAGGTAGTGAGGTCTGTTGCAACTAGGAAAAAGGGTTTATATATCTGTGGAATGACCAGGGTGGGACAAAGGACTCTTGCCTGCTGGAGCTAGGTGTGAATGTTTCAACTGACCACCTTGATTAGCATTTGATTGCCTGGCAGTGCCTGGAGCAATCTTTTGTTGAGAGGTGATTAGATGTCCTTGTTTGTTTTCTCTCTGTTGTTGTACTGTTCTAATTTTAGAGTTTTTTAAATACTGGTAGCCAGATTTTGCTTATTTTCATGGTTTCCTCCTTTCTGTTGAAATTGTCCACATGCTTGTGGATTTCAATGGCTTCTCTGTGTAGTCTGACATGGTGGTTGTTGGTGTGGTCCAGCATTTCTGTGTTCTCAAATAATGTGTTGTGTCCAGGTTGGTTCATCAGGTGCTCTGCTATGGCTGACTTCTCTGGATGAAGTAGTCTGCAGTGCCTTTCATGTTCCTTGATTCGTGTTTGGGCGCTGCGTTTGGTGGTCCCTATGTAGACTTGTCCACAGCTGCATGGTACACAGTAGACTCTGCAGAAGTGAGAGGATCCCTCTTGTCCTTTGCTGAACGAAGCATTTGTTGGATTTTCTTGGTGGGTCTGTGGATAGTTTGTATGTTGTATAAAGTAAAGTAGTCTGATTAGCTTCTGGGCTCAGCATGGGAGAGGGAACACCCTCCCCTGGAAGCCTTGTTCAGTTTCTGTCCTGTCCTTTTGTAGTAGTCTCTCTGGATCTTCTACTTTATACATTCAGCCAGCACACTTATCAGGGTATGGTTCCTTGCAACGACTATTCTTCTGGAGATGAGCACTTTCCTGAGATAATGTGACAGCTCTTAAGACTCAATCATTCTGGAAGCCGTGCTTGTGGTGACAGTAATGAATTCTCAAGCCTACCCTCATCATTGCTGCCCAATTCCCCTTTCCTTTCTGAAAGCCTCTGTAGATCTCTGATTAACCCCATCTACCATTTCCACAACACAACAATACATGTCAATTTTTAATGAGGAACTTTTACCCACCATAAGGAGAGGAATCACACCAGCAATTAATTTGGCGCCACGCTGCTATAAAAGACTACCCAGTAAAGCCTGCTGAGCTACCAGAAATGATGCTGAATACAGAGTACTCCGTGCATGTATCTTTCCTTCTTATATAACATAGACTGAATGGGTGACTCATCTTCTACCCCAAACATTCATTTCAAAAGAAGCCAAGCTATTCAAGGATGATAGCAATTATTATCCCAGAGAGACTACTACAAAAGGACAGGACAGAAACTGAACAAGGCTTCCAGGGGAGGGTGTTCCCTCTCCCATGCTGAGCCCAGAAGCTAATCAGACTGCCAAAGCAGGAAGAGCGTTCTCTATCTCTCTATGCCAACATGTCTACTCTTGCCTTAGAAAAAACTTTTTCCTGACTAGTAATGCTCACAGACTTCTCAATGAAACTCTCTCTATATAACATAATCACTCCATACATTAAAATTTCTACCAAGCACTTCAAGCTTTGATTTTTTTTCCCTAGCGTCATCAATATAACTGTAGACACAAAATGTGTGTTGTTTGGGGGGAAAAGAGAGAATGGAAGTCAACACCTTGAGCATGTCCCTGTGATAAGGGAACATGAACAAATGGAAAGGAGAGATCTGAACTATCTGATTAGAAAGAAAGGTGTCTGAATGCAATTTAAAAAACAGTGCAAGTTATTTTTCCAAGAATGGTTATTGAAATAACTGGAACAGGATCACTTGCTTACCTGTCCGAACGTATCTCTCCTTACAAACCCTCTAGGAATTTAAGATCTTCTGGGGAGGCCCTACTCTCAGCCCTGCCATCTTCACAGGCTCGATTGATGGGGATGAGGGATAGGGCCTTCTCAGCGCTGGCCCCTTGGTTGTGGAATGCCCTTCCCAGGGACATTAGATCAGCCCCCACCCTCTTAACATTTCGCAAAAAAGTTAAAACCTGGCTATATTAGCAGGCCTTTCCAAACGCAGTGTAGCTATTAAACTCTGATCTCGGAATGGTTGGACGTGACTGGATAATGACTGGAAATGAAATGCAGAGGACTTATGGTTTTTATTGTGTTACTGATGTTAATTGTAATGAATATTTACCTGTGTTAAATGTTTTTAATGTTTAAATTATTTTTGTACTGTTGTGGGCATCGAATTGTGCTGTTTTGTAAACCGCCATGAATCGCCCTCAGGCTGAGAATGGCGGTACAGAAGCTTAGTAAATAAATAAATATACAATATGATCCCTGTATATGCTGAGGATGCATTCTTAGGCTCCTTTCACACAGCTGTATAAATTCCCACATTATTGGACTGGGTTATATGGCAGTGTGGACTCAGGGCCCTTCTACGAAGCAATATAACCCAGAATATCAAGGCAGATAATCCACAATATCTGCTTCGAATTGGATTATCTAGAGTCCATGCTGCCATATAATCCAATTCAATGTAGATTTTATACAGCTGTGTGGAAGAGGCCACAGATAACCCAGTTCAAAGCAGATATTGTCGATGATTTGCCTTGATATTCTGGGTTATATGGCTGTAAGGGCCCTAAGACACATACAAATGGATACCTGAAACCATGGATAATAGTGGATCCTATATACTTGAGACAGAAGCATAGCATGGAAATCATAGACAGAAGCATACCACGAGTCCATAGATAAGGACTTCATATTATATAGTCTCTCCTAACTATTACATTTATGGCAGGATGTGGGACAAAACACAAAACCAGCACTTAACCTTTCCATGCTTCATATGGATGCTATCTCTGTAATATTTTACAAATCAGGAAAATGTCCTCACAAAAGTTTTAAGACATTTTAATCAAAATGCCCCAACTGTGGAGACTCATACTGTGACAAAGAGAATGCTGAATCTGAATACAGGAAACCCTGCTACAAAACTGCACTCGGATAGGGAGGCATATAAAAACTGGCATTGTACATCCTGTACATAAAGCACATGAACCTCCCTTGTATATACTCATGACATTTATGCTTCTGTACTGTTATTATCTACCAGCATTTTCCAAACACCAGACTTTTGGAAGCCTAACTACCAGTACTACACTAGCAATATTTACTAAAAGATCAAGTACCCAGAGCAGGACAACATCCTGCTCTAAAGCCACTACCAGAAAAAAAAAAACATGCAAGAGAAACTTTGAAGTGAGATTTGCAATTCTGTCCTCTGACAATGTTGTAATGGGACAACAATTTAATCATGCTACATAAAATTGTATTTTAAAATAGAACTGGCAACTCCAATTAAATCATTGCTGTCAGATTTATTATTCAACATAAATGTACCTAGCCTGCCAATAATCACTGTAAATACTAATATTAGCTATCAAAGGGTGCATATGCTTTATGGGAAATCTTGTATAAAAGCACCTTCCAATGTTTTGATAACAAAACTGTGGAAGGAAACATGAGATAAACATAAGATATATTATTCCAGCTGGCTACTCTTACTGTGTGTCAGAAGCAACTTGAGAAACTGCAAGTCAATTTTGGCGTGAAAGAATTGGCCATCTGCAAGGACGTTGCCCAGGGGACGTCCAGATGATTGATGTTTTACCATCCTGTGGGAGGCTTCTTTCATGTCCCCGCACGAGAAGCTAGAGTTCAACAGATGGGAGCTTACCTGGCTCCCTGGATTCAAACCGCCAACCTGTTGATTGACCAATCCTGCCAGCACAAGGGTTTAGCCAACTGTGCCACCAGGGACTCCAGATAAGGGTTTAGCATCACTTATCTGGAATTCTCAAGCCCCGAATACTTCAAAATAGAAAACTGCCAGGTGGCTGAGATAGTGTTGCTTTCTGACACTCCAACGTATACAAACTTTGCTTCAGACACAAAATTACTTAAAATACTGTGCATAAGATGTACATGAAACATACATGAATGTTGCATTTAGACTTGGGTCTCATCTCCAAAATTATGCATATACAAATATACCAAAATCATAGGGGATGTAGGAAATCTGAAATACCTAAGGACTTCAGATAGCAGATACTCAAACTGTACAAGGGTCAGGTCTAAAAACAAAAAAAATTAAACTCTGTACGGACATTGTCCTAATTAAAATCTTAACTCAGTCCTGAACTCACTAAATTAAGAGAGGAAAACTGTAACATTTCACAAACTTACAAACAGCCCTCATGCAGGACCTTTGTGAAGCATTTTGTATTTTCACAATCTTGGACAAATCTTCATACCTCAAGTTTCTCTCCCTTATCTGCAAAATGGAGTTGGTAATTGCAAGGTTGTTGTGGAAATACAGGTTGAGTATCCCTTATTATATGCTTGGGGTTAGAGGTGTTTTGGATTTCAGATTTTGGAAGGTCTGTGTTTCCACTGGCATACATCATGAGATATCCTGGAGATGGGACCCAAATCTAGACCTGAAATTCACTTATGTTTCATATGAACTCTTACACACATAGTCTGGAGGCAAATTTATACATACTTTTTGGTCATTTTGTGCATGAAACTTAAGAGTGTACGTTAAACCATCACAAGGTCACTATTTCAGCCTCCCATCTGATGGATGGGTGAAAGTGAAAGGACCAATAGTGAAAGGACCAAGGCAGAGACATCTCCAGCTCATCCCTTGTTTGGGCATCAGCCAGCACGTCAACGACTTAAATCAAGAAATAGTTTTCTAAGATCTACAGAGACACCCGCTGGAACACCTCAGCAAGCAAGAGTCCAAAAGTGGCAGGCTCAAACCCAGAACCTCAACCAATGGCTGATACCCGATGAGAGACTCCCGCCTGGGCACACAGAAAACTGGGCGACTTGGAAGGCGCTGAAAAGGCTGTGCTCTACGCTCTGAAAAGATGCAGCGCCAACCTTCAGAAATGGGCCTACAAAGTGGAATCCACGACATGCGAGTGTGGAGAAGAGCAAACCACAGACCACCTGCTGCAACCTGAGCCCTGCTACATGCACAATGGAGGACCTTCTTGCGGCAACACCAGAAGCCAGAAGCACTCCAAGTGGCCAGATACTGGTCAAAGGACATTTAATCAACTACCAAGCTTGCAAACTCTGTGTCTTTTGTATGTTTGTTTGTTCTGTCAAAAATGTAATACAACTGTTTGGTTGCCTGACATGATAAATAAATATCTGATGGATTTTGGAATCCTGGATAAGAGATGCTCAATCTGCAATAAGCATAGAACTATGGAGGCCATGCAACTCTCTCTTCCACTAGAAATGGAGGGCTCTGTTCCATCCTTATTCTCCACTTCAGACAAGGAATATTCCCTTCTTCTTCTTTCTAAACTATTTTCCCAATGCAGGAGTTAGCATTGTGACTGTCATTTCCACGGGGCTTTGTTTTGGGCATCCTCAGGTCTTGGTTTGGCAGCATGCATTTTTTCGTTGATGGTGTCCATCCATCTTTTCTTTGGCTATCGGCATGGTCTACTCTCCAAATGCAGTGCTGTTTGTGCTGCTAACTCTTCTCATGACATGGCCATACCACCGTAGCTCTGCTTTCTGCAGTTTCTTGCTGATCACTTTTATTACTGTCTTTGGAAGATGTCATCATTTGGCACATGGTCAAGAAGTATCAAGCCAAGTGTCCATCTCAGCATTTTCATTTCCATTGTGTCATGTTTCTTTGTTGCTGGCCAGCACTTTCCCCCATAGAGGGATGGCTACTGGGTGGACAATTGTAGCACAGATCTTAGCCTTGAATTGTTCAGACATTTTTGCGTCACACAGAATGCCAGTAGTTTGCCACCATTTCAACCAGGCTGTATTTATTTGTGACCACTGCCACAAATAAAACCGCAGTTGAAAAAACCATCACTGGACCCCACTCAATTCGTCAACAATTGGCCAGTTTCCAATCTCCCCTTTTTGGGCAAAGTCCTGGAACGTGTGGTGGCCTCACTACTCCAGGTATTCTTGGTAGACACGGATTATCTGGATCCGGCACAGTCTGGCTTTAGGCCGGGACATGGTACCGAGACAGCCTTGGTCGCCTTAGTGGATGATCTGCGCTGGGAGCTAGACAGGGGGAGTGTGTCCCTGTTGGTTCTGCTGGACCTCTCAGCGGCCTTCGATACCGTCAACCACGGTATCCTTCTGGGACGCCTCGCGGGAATGGGCCTTGGTGGCACTGTTTTGCAGTGGCTCAGGTCCTTCCTAGAGGATCGTACCCAGAAGGTGTTGCTGGGGGACAACTGCTCGACCTCACAACCATTGTCTTGTGGGGTCCCGCAGGGTTCTATACTGTCCCCCATGTTGTTTAACATCTACATGAAGCTGCTGGGGGAGATCATCCAGAGTTTCGGGGTGTGGTGTTATCTGTACGCAGATGATGTCCAACTATGTCACTCCTTCCCATCTACTACTAAGGAGGCTGTTCAGGTCCTGAACCGGTGCTTGGCCGCTGTATCGGACTGGATGAGGGCTAACAAATTGAAACTGAATCCAGACAAGACAGAGGCACTCCTGGTCAGTTGAAAGGCCGAACAGGGCATAGGGTTACAGCCTGTGTTAGACGGGGTTACACTCCTCCTGAAGACGCAGGTTCGCAGCTTGGGTGTGATCCTGGATTCATCGCTGAGCCTGGAACCCCCAGGTTTCAGTGGTGACCAGGGGAGCATTTGCACAACTAAAACTTGTGCGCCATCTGCACCCGTACCTTTGGAAGTCTGACTTGGCCACGGTAGTCCACGCTCTGGTTACATCCCGCATAGATTACTGCAACGCGCTCTACGTGGGGTTGTCTTTGAAGACGGCCCGGAAGCTTCAAATGGTTCAGCGTGCGGCAGCCATGATACTAACAGGAGCGGGACGCAGGGAGCATACAACTCCTCTGCTGCATCAGTTCCACTGGCTGCCAGTTTGCTACCGGGCTCAATTCAAAGTGCTGGCTTTAGCCTATAAAGCCCTAAACGGTTCTGGCCCAGCCTACCTATCCGAATGCATCTCTTCCTACGAACCCTCCAGGAAGTTAAGATCATCTGAGGAGGCCCTGCTCTCGATCCCGATCTGCTTCGCAAGCACGCTTGGCGGGGATGAGAGACAGGGCCTTCTCTGTGGTGGCCCCTCGGCTGTGGAACTCCCTGCCTAGGGATATTAGATCAGCCCCAACCCTGCTGACTTTTCCGAAGAGAGTAATAACCTGACTCTTGGAGCAAGCATTTGGAACCCCGGAATAGATATTCAAGCTTGAGATGGAGAATGACCCAGAAACGGCCAAGACGATGAAACGGATGAGGATTGGAACGAGAGGATATAGCTCTTTTTAAATTGTTATTGCACTGTCTTTTTTGTCTAAATGCGCCTAATTGCTTTTGCTTTTGTACTGTATTGATGGCATCGAATTGTGCCGGCTGATATGGGCGGGATATAAATAATGTAAATAAATAAATATATAAATGTATGGAGACCAGTGACCCTAGGTATTTAAATTGGGTGGCCTTCTTTATTTATTTATTATTTATTTATTTGCTTTGCTTATATACCGCAGTTCTCAGCCCACTGCGGTGTACAACATAGTGCTTGTCCATTAATTTGGATGGTTTTTCCAGTTTGGGAACCACATTCCAGATACTCTAGTTTTGGGTATGTGGAGTTGAAGTCCCTTTTCAATGAGCCTATCACTCCAAGTTTGCAGCCGTTGTTGGAAGACTGTGTGTTTTGTCATCTGAGTGCTATGTCATCTGCATATAGGAGTGTCCAGGGATGCAAACAGGTATAATTATGCATGGCAATGGTTTCAGTTGTTAGACTGAATAACCTGTTAGAAATTTGCCAGAAACAGCTGGGGAAAACTTGGGCCCTCCGGGTGTTTTGGACTCCAACTCCCACAATTCCTAACAGCCTACCGGCTGTTAGGAATTGTGGGAGTTGGAGTCCAAAACAACCTGGAGGGCGGCCTGAGTTGGGCGAGGCCTACACTGAAGGAGGGTCTTTCTTTCTCTGTCTCACCCGCGGGCGGTCCTTGGAGACGGGGAAGAAGCGCCGGTTGAAGCTGTCGGCCACCAGCACGGCCTGTAGTGGCGGGGGCGCCTCCTCCTGGCCTCCCGCCCCGCCTCGAGGCCCGCCACGCTTCCCGGAGGCTCCGCGGGCCGCCATCGTGCCTGCCTCACCAGCCCTCGCTTGAGAGCCTGGCTTCCGCTTCCGGAGGGGAAAGGCCAACGCGAGACGGAGCCGCGGATGGGACAAAATACTACAGCGCTCTTCGAAGCCGGCGCGAGGGAGAGCGCGTTGCTGGTAGGGCGCATGCGCCAACTGGGACACATTGGAAACTTGATGAGAAGGATGACTCGCTGTTGGTGGAAAGCCGTTTGCAGGGCGCATGCGCGGAATGGCCAGAGACTGAGTTGTTTTGGTGATGCTTTCTCTCTGTTACTGTAAGGTTATACCGATGTGATATACCTATGTATACCTATATCTAATCCTATATATAATAGGTATTACATATAATACCTATATTTATTTATTACTGCACTTGTAGACCGCCGTTCTCAGCCCTAGGGTGACTCACGGCGGTGTACAACATATAAAAACAATTTACAATAAAGGCAATATCACAAACAACAATAACAACATCACTATCAATAATACAGTTACACTAAATCATTCGCGACGTCTCATCATAGAATCACAATCCAATCTCGTTATCCATATTCCGTTCCAATCATCATTGCCAATTGTTGTAGCACTTAGTTAAACGCCTTCTCAAACAACCACGTCTTTAGTCTCTTGCGGAATGTCATAAGGGAGGGCGCCTGTCTGATGTCTACAGGGAGGGTGTTCCACAGCCGGGGGGCCACCACCGAGAAGGCCCTATCCCTCGTCCCCACCAGGCGTGCCTGTGAGGCAGGCGGGATCGAGAGAAGGGCCTCCCCAGACGATCTCAAAGTCCTCGTGGGCTCATAGGCCGAGATGCGGTCAGACAGGTATTTTGGGCCGGAACCGTTTAGGGCTTTGTAGGCCAGCACCAGCACCTTGAATTGGGCCCGGTAGCAGATCGGCAGCCAGTGGAGCTGGAACAACAAGGGCGTTGTGTGCTCCCTGTGTCCCGCTCCTGTTAGTAACATGGCTGCCGCGCGCTGGACTAGCTGAGCTTCCGGGCCGTCTTCAAGGGCAGCCCCACGTAGAGAGCGTTGCAGTAGTCAAGGCGGGATGTGACCAGAGCGTGTACCACCGTGGCCAAGTCAGACTTCCCGAGATACGGGCGCAGCTGGCGCACGAGCCGAAGCTGTGCAAATGCTCCCCTGGTCACCCCTGAAACCTGGGGATCCAGGCTCAACGATGAATCCAGGGTCACACCCAGGCTGCGAACCTGCGCCTTCAAGGGGAGTGCGACCCCGTCCAGCACAGGCTGTAACCCTATACCCTGTTCGGCCTTGCGACTGACCAGTAGTACCTCTGTCTTGTCTGGATTTAATTTCAGTTTGTTCGCCCTCATCCAGACCATTACAGCGGCCAGGCACCGGTTCAGGACCTCGACAGCCTCCTTAGTAGCAGGTGGGAAGGAGTGACAGAGTTGGACATCATCTGCGTACAGATGACACCGCACCCCGAAACTCCGGATGATATATATATATATGTGTGTGTGTAATCCTATATACCTATACATATATATATATATATATATATATATGTATGTATGTATGTATGTATTTATTTATTTATTTACGCTATTTGTATACCGCATTTATCAGCCGTGCCCGGCGACTCAATGCGGTTTACAGTAAAAGTTGTGCACACTAACAATGTAAAGACAAACATAAACAAACGACACACATATAAACATCAACGCCTCACATAAAATCAGATTCCGTTCTCACATTCCATTGCCATTCCTTGTTCAGTTATGCCGTCTTCCTGGATTTAATTGCAATTGCACAGCTATCCGAACGCCTGCTCAAAGAGCCACGTCTTAACCCTCCTCCGAAACACCAGCAACGAAGGGGCCTGCCTGATGTCCGCTGGTAGGGCATTCCATAGCCGAGGGGCCACCACCGAGAAGGCCCTGTCTATATATATTTAGGTGTATATATATATAGATATAGGTGTATATATGTCTATATAGGTGTATATATGTCTATATGGGTATGTATATAGGTATATCTATATGTCTATATAGGTATATATATGTCTACATAGGTATATATATGTCTATATAGGTATCTATATGTCTATACAAGTGTATATATGTCTATATGGGTGTCTATATAGGTATATATATGTCTATATGGGTATATATATAGGTATATCTATATGTCTATATAGGTATCTATATGTCTATATAGGTATATGTATATGTCTATATAGGTATATATATGTCTATGTAGGTATATATATGTCTATGTAGGTATACATATGTCTATATATACCTATATATAGGAATATTGATATATTCCTAGGACTTATAGTTTGCTAAGGCTCCTTCTACACTTCCATATAATCCAGAATATCAAGGCAGATAATCCGCATTATCTTCTCTGAACCGGATTATATGTGTCTACACTGCTATATAATCTGGTTCAAAGCAGATAAACTGGATTTTATATTGCAGTGTATGAGCTCTTCTACACAGCCATATAACCCAGTTTAGCAAGTCAGATAATCCACATTATCTGATTTGAACCGGGTTATATGAGTCTACACTGCCATATAATCTGGTTCAAAGCAGATAATGTGGATTTTATATTGCAGTGTATCAGCTCTTCTACACAGCCATATAAACCAGATTATCGAGTCAGATAATCCACATTATTTTATTTGAACCGGTTTATATGTGTCTACACTGCTATATAATCTGGTTCAAAGCAGATAAACTGGATTTTATATTGCAGTGTATGGGCTCTTCTACACAGCCATATAACCCATTATCTGATTTGAACCGGGTTATATGTGTCTACACTGCTATATAATCTGGTTCAAAGCAGATAAACTGAATTTTATATTGCAGTGTATGGGTCTTCTACACAGCCATATAACCCAGGTTATCAAGTCAGATTATCCGCACTATCTGATTTGAACCGGATTATATGAGTCTACACTGCTATATAATCCAGTTCAAAGCAGATAATGTGGATTTTATATGGCACTGTATGGGTTCTTCCAACAGCCATTGCATTCAGTTTAGCAAGGCAGATGTTCTGTATTATATTCTTTGAACCGGATTATATGGGTCTACACTGCCTTATAATCCAGTTCAAAGCAGATAATCTGCATTTTATATTGCAGTGTATGGGCCCTTCCACACTGCCATATAACCCAGATTATCAAAGTGGATAATCCACATTATCTGGTTTGAACTGGATTATCTGAATCTACACTGTCATATAATCCAGTTCAAAGCAGATAATCTGAATTTACAGCAGCTGAGGATGTGATCTACTGTTTCATCTGCTTCATTGTTGTTGTTGTTGTTGTTGTTGTTGTTGTTGTTATTGTAATTTGGAATAAATCCTGTTTTTGCCTGTAGGATCAGGGGAGTCAGACACATTTTCATGGAGGGCCACGTCAGCATCATGGTTGCCTTCAAAAGTCTGTTGAGTCCATACAGAGAGAATTCATGGATGCAGAGGGTCAATTATAATTTTCTTACATAGCAGCCAGTGCGCTTTAGTTGTTACCCACTTTGGGTTCCCAGATGTTATTGAATGACAACTCTCAACACTTTGGATTATCGATTATGCAGACTGGGATACTGAGAATGCAACCCAACAACACTTGCGGCTCTGAGGTTGGGCAAGAGTCATTTTAAAGCCTAAACATCATATCCACAAGCCTCGTTTGTTGTTTATTCGTTCAGTCGTCTCCGACTCCTCGTGACCTCATGGACCAGCCCACGCCAGAGCTCCCTGTTGGCCGTCACCACCCCCAGCTCCTTCAAGGTCAGTCCAGTCACTTCAAGGATGCCATCCATCCATCTTGCCCTTGGTCGGCCCCTCTTCCTTTTCCTTCCATTTTCCCCAGCATCATTGTCTTCTCTAAGCTTTCCTTTCTTCTCATGATGTGGCCAAAGTACTTCAACTTTGTCTCTAGTATCTTTCCCTCCAGTGAGCAGTCGGGCTTTATTTCCTGGAGGATGGACTGGTTGGATCTTCTCGCAGTCCAAGGCACTCTCAGAACTTTCCTCCAACACCACAGCTCAAAAGCAAGCCTCGTATCTAAATTCAAACCCCTGACTAAACAAAACAAACTTCAGCCTTTCAAGTGTTACTTTATCACAACTCCCATCCTCTGCAATCATGATGTCTAATGACGTAGAATACAGGAGTCCAGCTTCTGGAGGACCACAAAAATGATCTTGAGTTCGACCCATATGTTGTAGAGAATTGAGTTATTTGGCCAGGACAATGACAGAAAGCCACCAGTAGGAGGCAAGCTGCACACAGAGGTTTTTATTACATGGCTTGTTTTTACTCTGCTCTATTTTCTTTGACTGGAAGTGGAAGAAGACAACAGAATAGGAAGAACACGAGACCTCTTCCAGAAAATTAGAAACATTGGAGGTAAATTTCAGGCAAAAATTGGTATGATAAGAAACAAAGATGGCAGGGACCTAACAGAAGCTGAAGAGATCAAGAGAAGGTGGCGAGACTATACAGAAGATCTGTATAGGAAGGATAACAATATCGAGGATAGCTTTGACGGTGTGGTGAATGAATTAGAACCAGACATCCTGAGGAGTGAGGTTGAATGGGCCTTAAGAAGCATTGCTAACAACAAGGCAGCAGGAGACGACGGGATCCCAGCTGAACTGTTTAAAATCTTAAAAGATGATGCTGTCAAGGTGATGCATGCCATATGCCAGCAAATATGGAAAACACAAGAATGGCCATCAGACTGGAAAAAATCAACTTACATCCCCATACCAAAAAAGGGAAATGCGAAAGACTGCTCCAACTTCCGTACAGTGGCCCTTATTTCTCATGCCAGTAAGGTAATGCTCAAGATCCTGCAAGGAAGACTCCAACAATACATGGAGCGAGAGTTGCCAGATGTTCAAGCTGGGTTTAGAAAAGGCAGAGGAACGAGAGACCAGATTGCCAATATCCGCTGGAGAATGGAGAAAGGCAGGGAGTTTCAGAAACACATCTACTTCTGCTTCATTGACTATTCTAAAG